GCAGACTGGGTCCACACCTCTTATCTCTGTTTATCAAAACGAAAACGATACTTTATACACAAGGCCAGATTTAAGGAAACATCCACATGTTATAAAGCTGCAATAAAATGAGTAACTTTTTTAGTCGTATATATAGCCTAATAACATGAAGCATTTAAAAAAAAATTAATTACTCTTTGAAATTCAAAGTTATATAGGTTTGAATATCTTCAAGAATATAAATGGGGAAATGCCTTCATCTTGAAAAGAATCACTTAGTTTGACGTATATGAGTAAAGTATACGAGTATTATTATTTGTGCCATGAGTGTAGTACGAGTGCATTGTCATGAGTGTCATGGCCGAGCGGTTAAGAGTATACCGGACTCAAACTCTGGTGTTTCTGATCAGCAGAGTGTGGGTTCGAGTCCCGGTCTCGACACTTGTGTCCTTAAGCAAGACACTTAACCATTATAATCATTATTGCTTCGTCCTTCGGATGGGACTTAAAGCCGTTGGCCCCGCGCGTTGTGTAACGCACGTAAAAGAACCCAGTAACACTTAGGGCCTATCGCAAAAAGAAGGGGTTTGCCCCGGTGTTTCTAAAAGTGCGTTTATCTTCAGCTATGATGAAGGCTGCACTTGCAAGGAAGAAGAAGAACAAGAAGAAGATACGAGTGTTTTAATTTCTTAAATGGCCAATGTAATGCAATTACATGTATGTTTTAGTGCAGTCCTTGTTAATGCACATTTGTATCCCAATTAATTATTCTAAGGGCATTTTGGTGCCTTTTCACAAAGATTAACCAAAAAGGGATGTCAGATAGTTTTTTTTACATTTAAAAGGAAAATATGATCTTTAAGGGTACGAGTACATTCTCATGAGTACGAGTAGACAACACTTGACGAAGTTCACAAGCACTTTCGGTTATCTGTATAATTGTATAGTGTCATACCTCACGAACGTGCGCGGATATTGGACATGAATAGATGGCAGTAGGCCACACACGCGAACAAATTCGCTACTTTGTGTCTGAGTATTCACCCTTTTGGGAGTTTATTTTTTTCGTCCAACCCTAAATTCAATCACTCTTTCCCCCGACGGGCTACAGGTCTACAGTTAATGCGTAAATCGGACCACGATGAACCGGGTAAACAAGATAATTTGCTGGCGAGGGATGCCCCGCCGGGGCCTGGCCGTTTTCCGCCCGGCACGGAGCCGCGATTGTACCCGCCGACTGTTAACAAGCAGTGACGGTCTGCCGAGCCGTTTCCAAGCCTGCTGGCCCAGGTACACGATGCGTGTTTCTGCGTGGGTAGATGAGACTGCAGGAAATGCAACACATAAAAGTATTTGATTCGAAGGATATAAAAACTGTAGTTTATCTCTGAATGTCGTTTGTCCCTTTTCTTCAATATCCTCGATAGAAAATGTGTGTCCTGTATATTCCCATTCAATTGCCATACCCGTTCGAATTGGCGCTGGAAAAGACGCCTTTAAGTTCACGTCATTACCCGACCAACCGCCCACATCCATAAAAAAAAATCGTCCAATATTATATTGCTTTTAAGTTTACGGTAAACTGTTTCTGTCGATTGTTTTTGAGCAAAATGTCTTACAAGAACTACAGTGCACCCAAAGCCAACCCCCAAACCGTATTCATTCATCTAGTCATTTTGTTTTCCTGTATTTCGTCATTTCCTAATAGGTATACTGTGGTATCTTCTGACTAATTGCACTTTGGTGATGGTCACCCATGTTCACCTAAACCTCCTCCACAATCTTAAAAAAAAAATTGTCTTTTATGTTTCAAATCTGCTATACTTAAAGGTTAATGATATCACAGAGTGATATCATCTCTACAGAGATGGATTGTCTATATAGATCACTCTTCAATAAAGAACAAATTTGACATAATTATATTTTCCTCCGCCAAGGAGGTTATGTTTTCATCGAATTTGGTTAATAGTTTGTTGGTTGGTTGGTTTGTCTGTTAACAAGATAACTCAAAAAGTTATGGACGGATTGTTATGAAACTCTGTTCAGGGTGGTTCAAATCGATTTGAGTTTGAAAGCAATCCGGATCTGGGTCTGGATCCAGGATTCTTTTAAGGATTCCTCACCATTTATGCGAGTATTTCTTTTGGGTATACTGACAATATGGCGGGGAATTGTTTAGCCTTGGCGGGGGTTTGCGCTCTCTGAGCGCTTCTTGTTTTTGACATGAAATACAACCAACTATGAGAAATGTTTGGCTTACTGGACAAAAGGCGTTGGGAAAATGTTGGGAATTGGCCCCAAATTGTTCCTTTTTTAAGTGCGAAGAAGGAAAACATAATTCCGAAGTAATGGCACTATTATACCGTTCTCTGTGAATCATTTTTGATCGCTGATGATTCTCGAAGCTCAGTAACCAGAAAACAAATATGCAATTAAAATTGCCAGCTTAACACAATTTAAACCGACGGACCCCGGGAGCTTAGAGCATGACAACATTTACCTCACCAACAGCCGGCGGCACCCGCCCAAGTTGAAAGTTATTGTCGCAAAAAAGTTCCGCACTTCGCGCCGCACACGCGCTCAGCAGGGCGCCCGCTGGCGGTGGAATTAAAGCTGACATTTTTCAGTGGTGATGTGACGAGTGTCAGATGACGGTAAATCGGTAGTCCGTTGATTTTGAGTATTTACGAAAGCTCACGTGATAGACTTGATGAACTTTAATGGCGGAATAATGACGGTTGAATAATTTAGTATGAGATGACATTTTGGCCTAATCAGGCTGGTCTTCAATGTCATTCGTAAAGAAGCATCGAAATACCTTTGACACCCCGTTTCATACCAGTGGACGGCAGTCTAGCCAATTAGCTTTTGATGTGTAACTCAACATATTAACTGTCATATAAGTCTGGTTCCCTAACCAGAAGATCCTGACGTCTTGTTATGTATCGTAGGTCAGGTAACCGTTACATTAAAACAATCGAACATGACGCAGCAAGCTTCGAGCCCTCGTCGAGTGCACACGCGATTACGGCAAGGCCTAAACATGGACATTAAATACAAATGGTGGGCATTAAACCTGACGTTAAATGTAAGCTTTGAATTCATGAACTATACACTTTAAGGCCTGATAACAAGCATGACAGGTATTTTTTAGGTAACACAAAAACCATGTTACATCCGAAAATACGCGAACTTCTACGTGTGTGTCCATGAAAATTAATTCGGTAAACTTTGGACATTTTAAGGAAACAGGCAAGATACTGCCCGTTTGGTCGCGTGCCGTGGCGCCTACCTGACCAAATATTTGTCGCGAAAAGGTCAGAATCTTTTGGTCTGTAATATTGCATCCCTGCTATATAAGAACAGAACGTTGCTAATGAAGTCAACAGTCTCATTTTTTGTCAAGTCGCACCGCCTTATATTATCACGACACAAGTTGACTGTTTCAGTTTTTGTGCGGGCTGTATCAATTAACCAGCTAAACTTCTCGGTAAACATGGATAACTGTACTTTGAAGGTGCACTTCTGTCAAATCAAATCTTTCATCGTCACGAGGTCACAGCTCGCGTGACAATTACAACGCGACACTAACTTGTTGCGCTATCCACACCTAGAAGCACCGCCAGCGACATCCGGGAGCGGGCGGCAACGGCTCCGGTGTATACCGTGTGGTCGGGCCCCAGCGCCGGGGCACTTAGGCGGCGTACACGGCGACTCACCTGCGGACGTTATCCAGGTGAGGCGCCAACAAATTGATCTGACAAGCCGCCCTTGGCTAATCGCTGCAAATATCCTCCCGAGCAACTAATGCCAGTGTCAGCCTGTTCAGCGCAGTGCATGTGGATTAAGCTTGTGAAGGGCCATGAAAGTTGTTTCTCCACGGGAAGGAATAATGAAGTTGTGAAGAAGCAAATAAGCCACGAATTAGTTAGATGCAGTCTACACCAATATGACATTTGCGATAGAAACCTCTTTTGTTTATGTTTATCTAGCTACCTTCAGTTATTTACGAAAAGTTCTCTTCTGCTTTTTTGTAATAGAAATTCAATAAGATTCTCGGAAATTACTGGCAGTTAACCAGTGGCGTAGTCACGGGGGGAGGGGGGGTGGACTAGGGGGCACGTGCCCCCCCTCCCACAAATTGTCCATGCCCCCAGGTTCCCCCCACCAAAATACTGATAATGCCCCTTTTCCTTCCCCCCAAAAAAGGGTTTCTGTAAGTTGTATTTTTGCAGTTAGCCAAAGGCTTAGGCCTAGCCTACTGTTTACAATTTCTTATGTCAATGGATATAGCGAGGCATTATGGGGCCCAACTGGGAAAAACTGCAATAGGACGTTTGCGATATTTGCCCCCCCCCCCCATCGGATATTGTGATGCCCCTCTGAGCCCCCACTAAAAAATCCTAGTTATACGCCACTGCAGTTAACTTTTATAAGGTCCATGCACTTCTGTGTTTTGCCAAGTATCTTTTCAAAAGAATGGCCCTATGAAATATGCAGGCCTCTAACTTATTGCAGGTGTCCCAATGTTCGTTGCCCAATTAATGCATTTCGCCGTAGATCCATGTTGTTTCTTTCTAAGGGACTGATTTCTTTGTCGAATGCCTAACATTGGTTGTACACAAAACTCTGCCTTAGCAGAGAACTTAGTAGTGAAATGCTGTAACGAAGGGGGGGGGGGGGGCGGAGGGGGTTGCACCATGAGAAAGGAATCGTCTTCGTTTATGACTCTGGGAAGAATCGGTGAGAACGTACAACGTCAACCTCAAAAAAGATATTGCTTTCATATGGTACAACCTCAAACTTTGTGCTGATTTTACCGTGTAGGCCTTAGGCCCTAACCTTCAAATTTTATTTTGAGAAATTGTACCAGATTATTTCAGAAAAGGAAAATGGGTATTATTTTCAGTTGTGTATAAATAATCAATGTTGGTCAGGCGAAAGTGGTTGGTTAGCCACTAAAACCCCTTAATCCCCTTTGCTTATGCAATGGATATTAATGTTATCCCTCTTTCTCACAGGGTTCCGGGAAACCGCCTTTGCCTACGCCACTATCTCGGCCGGGGTGTTGTACCAGGTAACCAGGGCGTGCAGCATGGGTCAGCTCCGTACTTGCGGCTGTGACACAAGCTTCGCCGGGGATGGCGTCGATTTCGAATGGGGCGGCTGCAGCCACGACATCCAGTTCGGCACGAGTTTTGTGGAGACCTTCTTGGACATCAAGGAGAGGGGGAGAGACATGCAGTCCAAGATGAACCTGCACAACAACGGGGTGGGAAGAATAGTAAGTGTCACGGCATCAATGGCCCGGATTAAACCTGTCGCCCAGCGGCCCCGCCGTCTCGGATGGCGCGGCAGCCGCCCTTCGCGATGCGAACGCAGTTGATGCACTTGCTGTATGATGCACACTGACATCGTGTGAGCTACTATGGTAACTCTTGCAGGGGGGGGGGGGGCATTGGGGTTCTTATTTTTCCGGAGAGACATCAGTGGTTGAGTCATACTTAAAAGCTCTTATATCATGTTTTTTGGAGTTGGGAACACGGGAGGTATAGGTTCTTGGGGCTCTTGGGGCTCGTGGCCCCGTTCTCTAATAACGTCACAGCCAAGGAATTGGAAATAGGGAGGGGTGGGTTGGTTTCATTTTTAGCAGTGCGCCTATCAATTGTTCCCCCCTCCCCCCTCCCCGGGCTGCCCCACCCAAGACGTGGGGATTGTCACTTTTGAAGTGACAAAATCCCCACCCTCGGGCAAAATTTAAGCGACAATCTCCGACATTCATATAGTGATTGCCTTTCCATGTAGTACGCCAATGGTAACAATGTAATTTGAGTGACCAAAATCCCCACCCTTGGGGCATGAAAAACGTGACCAAATCCCGACCTCGGACCTCCGGGGCAGGGGGGGGGGAGGGTGGAAAAACATTTGATGGGCGCATAGGCCTAAATCGTACAATGGACAACGGAATTTTACCTCGTTTTTTCCTTAAAGAATCCCCGCCTTTTCGGTTTCAACATTTACACCCTATAGTTCGATGGATTTTTTGGGCCCTCATTAATTATAATTTTAAATGCATTGCGAACTTCAACAAAATTGTTCCCGTATTTTTCTGCAAATAGAAAAGGCAATCCTTGAAATTAATACAAATATATGGGAATTGCGTTTATAAAGTGGGTCGATTTTTAAATAGCAAATTCTAATTCCAAAATACGAAAATGTATAAATGGTGCGATAATACTGGTCATATAAATAACACTCAGTAGAGAATATATAGGCCCCGTGCCGTCGTTGACTGATGTAATGATAAGGCTACGAGTGAAATGGCGCAAAAAGGAATGCTAAATTTACTCTCATATGCCTTATTATGCAGGAGAAGGGATCGTATATTTCAATTTGGCACGCAATCACTCAGCCCCCTTCATATCAACATCCCCCCTTTTCTGAAAGTTAGATCCGCTCTTGTCCCTATATGTCATGTCATTTACGAAAAGCATTAGCATGTGCGCGTACGTATTCACCGCATAAAAACAAACATTCGTCATTTCTTCACAACTCAAAATGTACAATTTGACGAAGTAACAAATCGGGATTCGTCCCTTCGTCAAACGTATTAACCAGGGTTGCTGCATATTCGCCACTTTGTGTAATTTGCGTAATTAGCAAAGTGCAATTTTGTGTCTTGAAATTTTGGCAGATTATGTAGAGGACATCTAAAATTGATAATAGTATCCACAGATTGCATAAAAGATCGGTTTTGAATGAGTCCGTCACCACGTCAAAACGGTGTGATGAATTGTACTTCTGTTCTCACTCGACGTCCTGAAAAAAAATCAGGGTTTGAAGTCCAGGATTACTTTAGTCCTATTCCTTCCGGAGTTACAAGTTCATGGTAACCGCCAAGGACGCTCAGGCAACCCACGAACCGCCACGAGGTGGACGCTCCTAGTTCACGACCATCGGATCTCAACCCCAAGAAACAAGTCGGAAAGTTTCAGCTGAAATCGCTGCTGACAGGGTCAGTCGTTACACCCAGCCCCCCTCCCCTCTTCGGGAAATAAAGGACCCAGGACCAATCTGTTCCAATTCGGCGTCCATAAACTTGCGATCACCACCAGGCATTGTTAAATACCAGACCCCGTAGCATTTTGGACTTCTAGTTGATGAGGTTTTCTTGGGAGGGCAATAAATTGACGGATATCCGATTTTTTTTTTGGTTGTTGGAGGAGTTCCGGTGGCCCGTTAAAACTTGCGGGCAGTGGGCTCATGGAAGTTGTCAAAGCCTCCACAAACTTCACCCCGCTTGCTTGAGGTGACTTTAAACATCGGTCGTTTACTGGGTGTAAAATATCAGTCCTGCCGTCAAAACGTCAATGTGGCTAACTAAATCGAATCAATGAAATTGCTATCGGTGGATTTTTTCTGGTTGGTTCATTACAGATTTCCTCTCATTTCTTTGTTATGCAAAATATGAAGTTCGGTATTTTGAGAAATCTCACAAGCTATATCCGCGGACAGGAACTAACTTCAGTTCAAAAAGCTCAAAAATGAGTTCTTAGAAAGTTCCTCTTCGAATTCATGTGAAACACCCGACATATAGTTGAAGTATAATAAACTCAAAATGAGACTGAGAACAGTACTTGATTTCATTACAATTATTGATACGATAGATTGGACAAAGTTTAATATCCAGACGTCTTTTATAGGCCTCCTGCAAGTTGACTTTATTTTTGTTTTTACACCAGCAGAAGAGCAGCCCAAACCTCTCAAAATGTTCAATAAATAAGAGTTATTTCTGCTCCCCCTGGGTTGTGGTTTAGTGCCCTTTCTAATAGGAGCAGGAGTTGTTGAGAATGTTGCAATTTCCCCGGGCCGTTTGTAGTTTACCGCGTCACGCAGGGGTATCGTGCTGGGTTGATTTGCTTAACTGCCCGGTCGGCTGGCCCACGTACACGCGCTCTCACCGCTGGGTGTCAACGCGGAATAGCGAACCGTGCTTCCAGTTTCGTTGAAACATTGTAATGATTCCTGACAGCTGAACGGAGTTAAAGTCACGGGTTGCTTTCAATGAAAATATGAAATAATTTGTTTCATAGTGCATCATTACAGGGTGAGTGAAAAAAAAAAGACATCCATATGGTTCCCCCTATTTAAAAAAAAAAGAAATTCTGTATGTAGCGCTTTGATCTAGTATATGAAAGCCCAATTAATAAACTTTCTTTTAGTGAAAGAATCATTCAAATCGCTCATGTACTTTTCCAGTTATGGAATTTTGAACACAGACACCGTTTTTAACCTTGTCCACGGATCACAATACATGTAAATGTAAGTGATATTTCAGCAAAACGAAAACTATTCACATTTCAAAAAGCACATCAGAAAACTCTCATAACCATGATAACTGGCACTTATCATAACATTTATTTTAAAACCTGCTGCTTCCAATGTTAAAATAACATGCTTTACAATTTCAAGAGTTTATAGCTTTGCTCTGCCTTTTAAGTGGCTACCCCGGATACTTATGGGATTATTCTGATATCATTTTCAGTATACGACATGGTTTCATTTTTACTGAAATATCACGTACCTTAAATGTGATCCGTGGACAAGGTTAAAAAACGGGGTTTGTGTTCAAAATTCCATTACTGGAAAAGTACATGAGCGATTTTGAATGCATCTTTCACTAAAACAAAGCTTATTACTTGGCCTTTCATATCCTAGATTTGGAAAACGCTACACGCAGAATTCTTAAAAATGGGGGCGCCATTTGGGTTTCCTATTTTTTTTTTTACTCACCCTATATATGGCTAAGTTTATTCCAAAGGTACAATCTAAACGTCTTTTTCGATGACCAATATAATGTATTTCGTCATGTACACGTTTCTGTCAGATTTTACCATTTCGTAGTCACGTGATTCATGTCAGTTAATTCAAGAACAGTTAAAGGATGGGAGGATGTATTTCAAAGTAACCAGAGTTGGCCGGGGAGAAAGCTGGAAAAAAATTAGAAAATGACTTGCAGAAGCAGGCAATCGATGTCTCAATTCTAAGAAGTAACTGATTTCACAACAATCACGTCAGACCAAAATTCAACTTCGAAATGGTGATATTTTTCTTTTGATTCCCAACCCCATGAAATCATGCATGTTGAACTCTACAGAAGTGTTTTCTCAAGAACAAAATACCAAGGTCACGTTCAAAAGGCAAGGTCGACCGCAAAGGCCACCCAAACACTAACCGCAGTTCAAGGCGTCGATGGCCCGTCAAACTCGAAGTGAAAACTAAATCGGACGTGGGAACTTAAAGCGGCAGAGAACAAAACAATATTTTGTCCTGACTGTTTTCAACAACTGGCAAATCTTTCTTTGGAGATGCTATTGCAAATTCTCCCTGAAATATTATTATATTTTTAAACTTATTTAATATCTTCCAACCTTCCTCTGGGAAACTTTTAATAATGTGATTAACGCGGCATGCACTAAGTTATAGACACTGTAATGTCCACCTCTTCTTTGATACGGTGAGACAGAAAGTAATCTATAAATTTGCGAATCCGAGTTCATAAGTTTCGTGTAACGTTTAATGAGTGACAGTTAACGAATCCGTTGACTTTTAGAGAAACAGCTATGGTTGCAGTATATATTGCAACGGACGTGATAAATATCCACAAATCCAAGAACTGTATCGGCAATCGAATGACTTTGGGTGATTTTTCCCTTCAAATATTATCCCTTCTGAAGGTTTTAATGAAGCCCAAACGATTTTCTCCACTCTATCTCAAATTAATTATCATAATTGGTTGGCGTAGTGTTGGGTCTATTTCCTAGATTTGAACAACTTATCTTGTAACCCTGATTTTTGGCGCCCGTGTCACGGCTCATGGAGTTCATGAGACACAAGAGGGCAGCAGTCATTTTCTACAGCCAGAGCAAGTTCGGGATAGGACCATTAGTCGACTAGTGGTTTATTCGTGATGTACTTTACGCCTGCGCACTAAATAACAACTTGTGAATGCCTCTAGTCAAACGATAGTCAAACATCAACACGAAACTTCTTGGTCCTGGTTCCCCTTTGTGAATTATGATGCGCACGGCTAATGGCAACCAGCAATGGAACCGTACCCCGTAGTCCGGTTCCAAATAGTCGACTATATAGTAGTCCAACCGTCATGTTCGAGCGACATTAATCGAACTATGCATGGTTAACTATAAGTGGACTCATGGTCCGAATCACTTACGCCTATCTATATAGAACTTCGGCAGTTGTAACAAGCACATGCCGAAAAGAGCTCGTAAACGGAGCTCGAAACATCCATTTTCGGACAAAGCCTTAAACCGTTGTCCTTAAAGGCAGCCATTTTGAGGGCTCTTGTTGACGACACACAATGTTCCTTTAAGGAAACTGCTCTGTTCAAAATGACGGTTGGCTAATTTCGTACTATAAATCTCTTATGTACTGACAAAATGATGTCCGTATCTTTCTGCCTTCAGCTAAATCTATTTTTCCACCTCTAGGTTGCCATTACATGTACTAATAAATGTCATGATGATTCAAATGTCATCTTCTTTGTTTCCCTGAAAATACAGGCGGTTGCCGAGTACGCTGTCAAGAAGTGCAAGTGCCACGGTATGTCGGGGAGCTGTGAGGTCAAGACGTGCTGGATGCAAACGCCACACTTCAGCGAGGTCGGGGACAGATTACTGGTCAAGTTTCGCGAGGCTAAACAAGTGGTGGCGCGCAACAGCATCGGCGGAAACCTGAGATTGGCCGACGACCCCACGCCCGCGTCCACGGACGGCCAGCGGAGGCGACGGCGCAAGCGGCAGCCCGTACCGCCCAAGGACCACCTGGTGTTCCTGGAGGATTCGCCGGACTTCTGCCAGGCTGATCCTGGCCTCGGCTCCCTGGGCACCAGAGACCGGTACTGCAACCGGACCAGTGACGGCCCGGAAGGCTGCGACAGCATGTGCTGCGGGAGGGGCTACAACATCAAGCTGGAGAGGAAGACGGAGTGGTGTAACTGCAAGTTCCACTGGTGTTGCCAGGTCAAGTGCCGGCAGTGTAGCCAGTCTGTCTGGGTCAACAGCTGCAAGTAAAGCACTCAGGTTGGCTCGGTGGCGCTTTTCACACTTTATCCGACTTGGAGCACGTGGACTTTCCACAGTTTTTGGTTCCCTGAGGATTTCCGGACAAACATATTGCACTATTGCTCCCTTCATATTCTCTTCATAAATGATTCTTGACTTCACTTTTAAAACACACGGAGGGGTCGCTATAGGAGAGGAGTAAACACCACAACATCGCCCAACGCCGTCCCACAGTATGCTCCCGTCATACTGCTCCCTATTTTTTCGAGTTTGAAAGTAGACCACTGGAACCCCCTTCTTGCTTCTGTTAGAAAATCGTAAATGAAGAGCGTCACATAGTGTCGCATGGCTTCCGGTTCCGTCCAATTTGAACACAAGCCCCTGTAGGTGTTCATGTCCAGCCCTCGTTTTTCGAATCTGCTGTCGCAGTGGCCTAACTTGGGTCAAATTTGCATGGGGTAATGGAGGGGGGGGGGGGCTCGTTTTCGGAGGGGGGTTCTAAACCGAGGGCCCACAAGGGGATGCACACAGTCCCGTTCCCCCAATTGCTCCTCCTCCCCCAATTGCTCCTCCTCTTAGACTAACTCCTCTGTCCGGTGGTCGGCAAATTTTGGGGAAAATATACCACGTCACCGCCAGTTCATGTGTTCCGTTGCCAAATTTGTTATCATACAACCCCCCCCCATACAACATAATTCAGGTTATAAAAAGATTGGTAATGATTGTACAACCGCTTCAGCAATTAACAAAATGATGTCATAATGAGGTCTCCAAATAGACATTTTGGGCCCATGTTGCACTGGGCTGTATTCTTGCACTTACCGTTGTTACCATGGACTCTAATTCCTTCCACTCCATATCAATATAGATTCCATTCGATATAAATTTATGTGTGCATTATGTGTAAATTTTAATATTTATTTAATTTACTGTTTTAATATATGAACATGTACATTAATTGTTTAGATATGAACGTGTGCATGCGACTTAAGTGCAGCAGCGAATGTGCCTTACCATATACCTTTGCAGATATCGTTTTTGGATAACTTGTACATATTTATTTAAAGTTCAATGTAAAAGATAAACGTTTAAAAAGAATGGAAAGTGTGTAGCAGTGTACACAACATCATGACGATAAAGGCAATTGAACATGGAACATATATCCTCAAAAAAATATATTGGTTAGTGTTACCGTCGCAGTAATTCCCCTTTTTTGTTGTGTAAGGTAAATTCACCAAGTTAGCAGGTTTAAAGGTGTACTTTCGTCCGGAGATCGGAAAATCAGTCTTTATGATAACCACACACTGAAGTGTTGCGACACAGGAAATACACGGTCTTATTTAACGTTGAAAAACGTGAAATTTAACCCTCTTAAATGCGGTGAATGATAATGGTCAAAGCCGTCCACAAAATACTTGCAACGTGTACAAAACAATATACCTTATTCAAGAGGAAGCCATTTTTGACCGTGTTCCCTGAATCTGTTTCACAAATTGTAAACTGTTCAAAGGGATAGCACCAGACTATTGTATGATCGGAGTGCGTGCCAAACCTCACTTTCAATATTTTTTTTAAAATGTGGCTTAAAACATTATGATATGATTAACCACAAATTTAGAATTATACATCAGAGCAGACTGGTACTAATTTGTAATGAACTTTTGTTTCATGCTTTCATTTCTATACTCGCAAGTTCCAAAAATGAAGAGTTTACCTCGCTTTCAATTTAAAATGGCCGACTTGTGAATAAGTCTGAACCAATCACTGTGGCGAATCACAGCAAACGACGTCTGCGTACAGAAACAAAAGTTCCTAGAAAATTAACTAGCACTCCAACGGCACTATTTTGGCGGACCAAAGTTTGGTACCCCGAAATTCGTATTCACGATAGTAACACGAAAGCCACTTTTAGATCGTTATTTTCTGTAAAAAAAGAAAGAATGAAAGAAAAGAAATAGGCCTATCATTTTGTGATTGGGTACATATACCAAACGGCAGATCTCCTTTAATGAATTTTACATGAACAATACGGTTTACAAGTAAAAAAAACATATCGGAAGCACATAGTTAATGTATCACTGGAATGTTAATTAATTTCAATATTTTTTTAATACTGACTGTATGTAAATAGTGTACATACAAAAAACCCGCAAAGTACATATTTTTGAATGGATTGAATTCAATTGTATCATAAGAGCTAGCTAGAGACTAAGTTAATAACTTCGTGAGATAATTATTTAAGTTATTGTAGATAATGACTGATAACTTGTAGATGTTTGGATTTAATGATGACGAAAACGTATTTTTTGGGTAATCCCTCTTGCCAAATTAACCGATTGTGCTTGGGTTTTGCATAGAAAATATTTACTGTGGTTTTTGGACGTGACTGATATAAATCCATTGAATAAATAGTGTGTTTGCCGTTTTGTAAATACTATTCCTTGGTCTTCGTTTCCTTTTTTCTTCTCAAAATATAAGTCACTTTAAAAGTGAATAGGTTGAAATTATTGTGGGTTGGGATCGGGGCGGGCGGGATTCACTTGTGACTTGGAATCGAGTCCGACTCGAGTCCATTTTCCATGACTCGGACTCGGACTGGAGTCATGATGACAAATGACTCGGACTCGACCTCAGGATTCGACCGTGGACTCGGAATCGACCTGGCCTGCGTGACTCAGGACTCGACCAAAATTACCACGGACCACTTATTTTTTCAGCAATAAGAAGACGATCCTTTCCTTTTCAAGACACAAAGTCATTGCGGAGTAGGAAAAAAGTACATTTTTACTACACTATTGGTCAATTTCTGTTACATTATCGGTTAGTGATACAGTATCGGTCAATTTTGTGTGACATTATCGGTTGGTGATACATTATCCGTTGGTTACTACGTTATCAGATGTAACACAGAGCATCTAGAATCCAATTTTTTTCGGGGCCTGAACCCCACACCGTAATTTTTTTGGGGGACAACATTTTTTTGGCCCCACCGAAAAAATGTGTTCGGGATCCGCCCTTGGAGATATGGCAATACACCTCTGGCCCTCGGACTTGAGGCCATGGGCGTCGCCGGGATTTTTTTCTAGATGGGGGTGGGGGGGGGGGGGGGTGGCGAAGCATACTTCCCCCCCCCCAAAAAAAAATCCAGTATTTCTTACCATATTTTCGATGTATCAGTTTTAGAGGGGGGGGGGGCATGGACATTTTACCCACCCCAACCCATTAAATTTACACCAATATGACTTCGCGCCTCTTTCTTTCCTTCTTTTTCCCCCCTTTTTTTGGTTGCTTTTCCGGGGGGGGGGGGGGTGGGGGGTGGTGGGGGGGGGGGGGGGTGAGGGGGAGCGCCTCCCTTGCCCCTCTCGCAACGCCCATGCTTGGGGCTTGCAATACAGAGCATTTGGGATGCAATCGGGCCGCGCCCGAAAGTGGCGCTATTTAGCCATGTTGTGGAGGGATCCGTTTTCAAGATGGCTACTTTTCCACTTTGGGAAACATCACTCGTTTTAAGGGTCGTCTTCTCTGGGTGAGAATTTCTCGAAAAGCCCGGGTCAACTTCCACCAAAAATTGAAAAGAAAATGAAAGCTTACGTGTTGATCATCATTTTTTTCTGTGCAGCCTGAAAACTTGTGTGAGATTTTTGAGTATTTTTAAAAGAATTTTGATGTATAGGCATTTATATCACTGTTGCCTATTATATGGGAATTTATTTCATTGGATGCACCCTCAGAGACCCCTAATTATGCTCATATTGCATGCCAATATCAATATCTCAGCTTGCTGAACAAGACATAATTAAGCATTATTAAAAATAATAATGTTCATGTTTGATTTTTGTTTGTGGGCCCGGAGATCAGATTGTCTGATTCTTGTTTAGCGTAAAAAGTTTGCATATCAGAAAATACCGGTACATCTTTGCATCGTGTGTCTAAAATACCGGTACATCTTTGCATCGTGTGTCTACTTTAACCGTGAGAACGCCCTTAGTTGTCAAAGGAGGAATAATCAAGTCTTGGTGGTTTGTCGAGTCTCGTGTCCCATCTTACCCCGGCCGCCTGTCCCCTACATCTACCAGTCACAATCGTCAATTGTGTACCTATACATGTTTTGCCTTATAATGTGGTATGAATAATAAGAGCTTTACAAATTTGGATATGGCCTTTATTATACACCATATAATATTTCCACCAGTTTCACTCGAGCTTCCATGGTATTGCAATTTAAAATTAAGAGTGATTTTCATTCTAAATCGTCTGGTCTCTATAGTTTAGAGAAATTAGATCTTGTAAATACTGTCTTGTATGCTATACGGACCTCGCTTTCCAATTACCGAAATTGTTGGGGAATACGATTCGGAAATGTGGAAATACAAAATGAAAAGGAAGAATTAATGGTGCACTGAGCTGGGCAGAAGTAGGGCCTACTCATGAATGGAACTTAAACTCAAAACATATCCAGCAATACAACTGATTGCCTATTCCATCAATTATGTTTTGTTTTCGTTCTCCAATTTGTCCATCATAGGCGTAGCCTGCTGGTGGGGGGGGGGGTGTGGGGGGGGGGGGGGGGGGTAAATACCCTCCCCCCCCCATATTCAAGTTGTAAAGACTGCATTTTCCATTCAAATGCCCTTTTTTCAACGGGCTTAACCCCAAAAATTTGTAAAGAGATCCCTTTTTTTTACTAAGTGCCCTTTTTTTTTTTTTTAAAGAAGTGGTGCCCTTTTTTGTGGCATCTGCTGTTTTGGGTGCCTTTTTCAAAATTTCGCACTCGTATCGCTCAGAAAAGCAGCATATATTGGCCCTTTGTGTACATAATTGTCAGTTTTGAACAGCGCCCCCATCGACAGATTGACCCCCCCCCCCCCCCCCCCCCCGCTTTTTGATTTTACGGAGGCCAAGTGTCTGGAGAAAAAAAACATCTCTACATTTCACAACGGATGTGCAAGTGCCCTTTTCAAATTTTTTTTACACCCCCCAATAACTGACCGTGCTACACCCCTGTCCAGTGACACACCAACAAACAAAAAGTTAACAGGAAACACACAAGAACTTGAGCAAACCAGTACAGTTCCATGATGGGTGAACGGTATCATTCATAAACTACATACAAACGGAAAACTTAAAGGGTCCATGAAATGTTCTTTTTCTAATGCAGTCCTTGAAAAAGCACCTTGGTATCCCATTTAACCTTATTTTCCATTTTCATTTTGCTGTTTTTCAAGGGTATTTTGGAGCCTTTTGGTTTTTATGCTAATGCGAATTTCCATATTCATGAGCAAATGGGTGATGTCATATCAGGCAGAAACCTCAATGTTGCAATTGGGCAATGCACAAAAAGTTGCCAGAATTTTGGATATTTTGCAGTCGTAAACTTTCTTTTCTTATGATTCGTTGTTGTGTCAGTTCACGGCAGTAAGCAAATAAGCAAACGTTTCTCACAAATGTTTTCAATTAGCACATTTTTGGGTTCATAATTTCAACAGAAAACACCTTATATGAGCAGCCTACTCCCTCATTTGTCAAGAGAAGCATGGACAACTTTAAATGTTGAAAGAAGTGCACTTTTCAGTAAAATTTACCAAAAAAGGATTTCAAATAGTTTTCATACATATGCCTAAAGAGGATCAGAAAGTAGCACAAAAAAGTTTCTATATTCACCGCATGAGCCCTTTTACTTAACCACAAAAAAATAGAGTGTACATTAACTGGGAGTAAAGAGCGCGAAAAACGGTCGTCACTATGCGAAGTGGCCCAATATTTTGTCCCATATTTTGCCGTAAAGCAGCGGCTTTTCAGGGGAAAAGGTAACAGATGTCACCGGTTGGAAATGTCTACTTCTCCGCTTTACATGACACTGATTATACATGTATTTTTAAGGGCACGCAGCTTTTTCAATCCATGTATCATCCCTGCTCAATGCAATCGCCGACTTACATTGCGTCACAGGGCCATAGGGGCTGGCGCAGCTGTATTTTGTAAATAGCGCCACCAACCGCTTGAAATGTTTTTGCGTAAATATGCATTACATCATTCCTATTTTTGTATCTGAATGGACATGCTCTTCATATTCATCCGCTGAAAACGTTTTGATTAAAATACAATGTACCAACAATAATTCTGAATAAAACTAACAGGAAAAAGTAAATTTCCTACAATTAAATTTACTAAAATGTTGTTTAGTATGAAAGATTGACCGTTTATTGGAACGCTCTTGGACCAATTGGTCCTATTTTATGTCGCCTTAGAATCTGACAGGTAAAACGGCTCTAATCACAACATTGTGAGCCATTTTGTAAACATCATCATCAGACAACCCAGACGAAAGACCGTAGAAAAACGTAGAAAGAAATTAGATCATCAACAGAAATAACTCTGAAATGAATGCTGATTGTGCAGATTAGAACTAATTTTAAAGTTTTGCTACCTTCGGATCATACAGGATGGGGAAATCCTTTGTTTTGGACATCAAGTACGAAGGCTCTAGCGAGATATTCAAGCTTGATTACAACATAAAATGGCTGGATTTGGAAGCAATGGTGAGCTGCATTTCATTTTCAATTATTTTCTTGTTCAAAATTCAATGTCATTAAAAAGTCATGTTCTTTACATATATTTTCTTTTCAGTATAAATTTTACTCAAATTTCTTTTCGGTATACATTTCTACCAAAGTTGTTGTTGCGAGTTACATATAAGAATTGAAAAGAAACTGTCGTTGCAGAAGTAGCTAGCCCAGGTTGGACGAAATCTTCATTGCATTACGACTAACGTCCAGGACGAGAATTCTCTACATAAGACCACCCAAACTTTGGACCAGATTTTTGTTACGTTTTACCCCGTTACAGAAGCATATTTCACGCTAGTCCGAGTAACTTGGACCCAACTTATCGCCTTTTTTAACATTTTGGACATGGTCTGGCGATAGTGGGGTCCAAGCTAATGCCGCGACCTGGACAACATCATCCTGTCACTGTCCCAAACCAACATTTTCCATCAAAAAACATCAGATTTCACCTTCAAAACGGCCTCCAATTTACTAGATATGCCACCTGAAGTACAAGTAGACATCGATGATTAAGATGGTTGTACTTAAGTTTACTTACGATCCGGAAGAAAAGTGAAATTTTCCGTTCAATTCTGAAGACCCCCTCTGCCTAGGTTGTCGTTGTTGTGCTCACGTTCAAAACTGCATGATACGCTGTGTGTACGCGTTCCCAATTGGGTAATGGCGTCTGACCTCGACCTCATGCAAAGGTCGTGACGGCGCGCTTGCGCACAATGCACTGCATGCACGGCAGATTCCCCTGCGCCGCGCCGACGACTGTTTCCTGATGAAGAGTGCTGTGTAAGTTCGCGGTACGCCTAGGAGTCGCGCTGGCTAAGAGTTGACTCTGGTACAAGTTGACTCAGGTACAAGGTAACCGGGGGACGAGCTTACCTGGGTGCGAGTTGACTCGGGTATGAGTTGAATCGTGTACGAGTTGACTTGGGTGTAAATTTTTAGGTACTAGTTGACTACTTCTGAAATCAGAAGGCTTCTCTCTGTCAGCCTTCTGAGAGCCTTCAAATTCGGGGGTCAGCTTTCTATGGCTTTTGGACATGCCCTTTGTTGATAGACGAAATACTTTTGTCTGAAATTCCACTTTCTGAAACGCAAATCCACCAAAAAAGTTGAGCTGGTTGATCCATAACTCTGAAATGTTTTCCCACAATTGACATTTGGAACATGGGACAATTTTTTGGGTGGAAAATCTTAGTTTTTACTCGCCAGCCTCGCGTTGCCGATCCGACGAATACAGCGGAACAGTTCATGTGTGTTTACGTACGTTGCGCGTGCGCTGATCTTCGCGTGACCTCAGCAGGTCAACTCTACATTCAGCTCGACCATTTGGGATGGAGGGGAGATTGTATGCTTTGCATCGCGAAACAATTGTCCCATGATCCAAATGTCAATTGTGGGAAAACATTTCAGAGTTATGGATCAACCAGCTCAACTTTTTTGGTGGATTTGCGTTTCAGAAAGTAGAATTTCAGACAAAGGTATTTTGTCTATCAAAGGGCATGTCCAAAAGCCATAGAGTGCTGACCCCCGAATTTGAAGGCTCTCAGAAGGCTGACGGAGAGAAGCCTTCCGATTTCAGAAGTACTAGTTGACTGGCATGACTGGGGTACGAGTAGTATGAAATTTCACTTTTTATAGGGATTGTAAGTAAACTTCAATACAACCATCTTAATCAGCGATGTGTTCTTGTACCTCATGTGGTGTATCTAGTAATTTGTAGGCCATTTTGAGGGTGAAATCTGATGTTTTTGTTGGGCAATGTTGGGTTTTTGGGGCAAGGACAAAATTGTGTTGCTCGGCATATAAGGATTAGCTTGGACCCTATATCGCCAGACCATGTCCGAATGTTGGAAAGGCGATAAGTTGGGTCCAAGTTACTCGGACTAGCTGTGCGTTGGTTATGGCCGTACGGTAGCATACATGTATGCAGGAAAAAATTGCATGCGCCTTAATTTGGGGATAGACGAGCCAAATACAGGGCACCTCGATTGCTAGTACTCGAGTATGACATACAACAGCCGTTGGATAAGTCGACTTTAAAGTGTATGCACAATGTACTACTGGCCCGACGGCTGTTGTAAGTTGTACTCTAGTATTAATAATCGATATGTGTACCCAAACATGGCTTGAAAAAAAACAAAACTTTTCCTCAGATTTGCCCAAGCGTAATGGATTTATCTTCAATGAAAACCCAAGTGACTTGATATTTGCTATAATGTTTGGCGGCGAATGTGTGATGGCTGGATAGGGAAACGGTGTGTGTCGTTGTGAAAGCAAGACTTTTCATATATTTGTACTGAAGCATTAGTTTTTTTGGCTCCTGTTCAAACAGTTGAAATGCCATCTGGATGTTGACGAAGTTGCCATTTATTACATGGATGATGAAGATGATGAGGTAAGCGGTTTTTTTTGTATTGCTTCGTTGAGTGCTTTGTTGGTGACTCATTGGTTGTTGTGTAATAAATTAACTTTGTTTGGGTTACACAAGCTGATGCAAGCATACATATATTCATTGATATTGAAATTGTCATTGATTGCTACATACAGGTGTTTATTCAGACTGGGACCTTGCGTTTAGAAAAACATGCATAACAAAATCAGGGCAACTTTACTCTTTAGCTGAAAAAAAATCTCCAACATTTTCCATGAGGCAAAAGACAAGGTCCTCATTATTTCACCAGCCAAGTTTGAGGTCTCAATTCAATTGTTAAAGGAGACTTTTTCCGCAACATTTTGCACCTGAGAGTGAAGCCAAATGATTTCAATTTGAAGCCTCTTAACTAGACTGGTACATGTCCAACTTTTTGAAAAGATGGACTATTCAGTTGTCTGGTGGTCATGACTATGGGGAGAATGTGTAGAAATAGAGACTAGGTACCTTATGTTTCTTTTGACACAGTCGATTTCTAGTACTAAAATGTGTTGTACTGGTTGTTTCATGTGCCAATCTATAGTTTTGGGAATCTCATACACAGTATGGAGGGGCCCAAATTTTTGAACTATATGTAGTGTTTATCATTTTGTACTTAGGACTCAGAATTCAACTCTAAAGGAAAATATGAATGGAAAGTACATTGTACATGTAGGTAGGCCTAAGGCAATGTTAGATTGAACAGATTCAATTATTTTGTATGTTAAATAATTGAACGGCAAAAGCTACTATTTTCTGTTAATTTCTCTATATTTGGTTGCTTTTTGCAGCAATATTACGCATAAAAAGACATTTTAATTGTTGTCAGGCCAAAATAATTCAAAAGTTTGGAAGCAATTCTTTCATAACTAAACGTGGATTTGAACGTTTTGTTCAGTGTCTCTTTCAAAAGGTTGGTTTTTCCCACATTTCAACGTGACGCATTTTGCATAATCCTTACATAATTTATATGACCTTTTTAAAAATAATGATATGTTTTATATTTTCTATCTTTTTCCAGGTGTGTCTTGGCAGTGAAGGTAAGTGCTGTTATTGCAATTTGAGTGCATTTTTATGGTTTTTACTTCGTGTCGTGAAGTTTTGCTGCTGTCTTTTTTTTTCAGTAAGACTTTACATAATTTGAATGTTAAATACAAGCAGATGACAAGTTACTTTTTAACATAAGTTACATAAGTTACATAGTAACATAAGTTACTTTTTATGTAGAAAATATATTGAGTACATGTATGTATATAATGGAGTTTGTTTTTGAATTTGAGTCGGTGACCTGATGGTTCATGTTGGATTACACTTACTGCAAAACAACTGGTGAGGAATAAACATCTTATTGCAAAATAAATCTGTTTGTAAACATACAATATGTACTGCACTGAATAAAACTACACTAGAACACTCTGATTTTTCATGGCAAAGTCAACGTCATGGGACAACAGCCTATAGATACGTACATTCTTCCATTGTTGAGTACACCCAGTTTGACCTCCAGATTTTTCCAGAAAAGAGCTTGTTATTGGTGAATTCTCTTTGTTCTTCAGTGCCGCCTGCATATCTATTGTGTGTTGCTGCTTTAGAAATGAGGCATGTTTATATGTACAGAGGTGATGTACATTGTGTATGCCTGATTACTCCCTGAAAAAATATTTGATTACAGCTGATCATGTGAGTTTTTTTCTAAGTGTTAATGTTATGTGTCTCTTTAAATCTGTTCGTAGCACAATGTGTAAACATGTACATGTACCTTTGTTCAGTTGTCTGGTTTTACTGTATGTACAGTATGTATATCGTAGGTCAGGTTATGAAAGCATTTTGTTTTCTTACGCATGTATTCCTAGCTCTTCTCTATTGTATCCATGTTTTGCTATGTAGGTCTGCGAGTACATGACTAGTTTTAATCAGAAAAGTGAACATCTCCGATCCATATTTGTACGTGTTATTTAACAATATTCTATAAACAAATTTGATCACAAATACTAACACAAAGACATACTCCAATTTTTTTTTTTAATTCAAGCAAGCTTAAAGGTAATACAACATTTGCAAACATCAAATAACAAAACTACCAAATTATTATGAAATACCTTACTTGACAGTAATTGAAAATTAGTCTCAAGCATGGCATTGGGTCATGGTGGAATTTTTGTAGCAATTTCCAATGATAGTCGGCCGACCAGTGTTGGAAAATAACTGACTTTTTCCAAATAGGCCTACATGTACTGCCCCCAATTTACCCAATTTACCAAATTTAGTAGGCCACAATTTGTTTGCGATCGGTTTACAAATCCATGAATGAGTGCAAGCTGACAATTCGCTGACATACATCTATTACATGTAATTGCTCCAATTCGTCTAAAGTAGGGGCTGGGAACCAGCTTACAAGAGCAGCATTTGTTTCTTGGTTTTTCCAGCATCTATGAACACAAAAAATCAGTGTAACTACTTGCTAGAAAATATTAACCCCCAAATCCATCCATTTCTGAAAAGTCACAGCAAAAGCAACGTACCTTTAAATTTATGAAATTTTGCAATACAGCCTGAACTTTGTACAGTGTGGTATGTGGTTGTCACCACAGGATACACTTTACAGGTTTCTGTAAACAGGTTTCTGTACACTACATTCTAGTTAAAATGTATATAAATACATGTACATGTACATGTATGTTGTTTGTGCTCACTGAGCATTGATCTTGTCAAATAATGGACATGTGCACCTACCGGTACATGAAAGGAAGAGTTTACATTGCTTTTAATTTAATATGGCTGACCTGTGAATACAAATATATTGCAAATGATCCTACGTGGCTTTAAATCCTATGAATTATGGAATAATGTATTTAAGCACTGGATTTTGATAACGTGTAGGATGGCCTGGGAAAATCATCGTAAGTTGCCAGATGTGTTACATGTGTGCTGTTATACATGGATGTATGTGGCATTTAAAAAAGGAAATTCCAGAGGTCACATTTGAGTGGAACAACGATTAAAGTAGAACCAAAAAAAGCAGACTTCTTTTAAAAACATGTTGAGAAACTACACGTTGGCTAAATTAGTTAAACATTAAGTTAGAAACTTGAAAATGAGAACAAGTATTTTCAAAATCTCAGCTAAAATATCTGGACTTTTAGTTTCTTGTTTTTTTTTTAACATGCATTTTATAAAGCTACATGAAAATGTCTATTATTTCAAAAGAGAATTTAAAATGTGTTTTCTTTTGTACATGCAAATAAGAATCTCTTATAAAGCAATTGAAATCAGAAAAGCTTGTTCAATTTGATCAGATTCCCAAAGATTGTCATGAATATTGTGTCTTGAACATTCATGTTATACCCAAATGGAAATGGAATTGTGAGAACTATACTATATACATGTGTAGGTTCATTATCTTTGAAAGTACATGGAAAAAGAAATCCTGTTACGTAATTATAGCCTGTTTGAAGGGATTAAAAATGACTTAGAACTCACAATTTCATGCAGTCCTGTAGCAAATTTGTTCTGGTTTTTGTCTAAAAGTTGCTGGTAGCTAGAAGGAACATACTGTATGTATTGTAGTGATTCATTGCCTCATGGTGAAGTATATAATGTGTTTCCTGTAACATTGAAAAAAAAATAGGGTGCGTGGGTGGGTGTAATATTTTTTTTTTGTTCTAAATTTTTAAAGCCAGAAAAAATAGAGTGGGTGTTGGTCGATTACTGTTCAGAATTGTTTTTGCATTAGTCGGGCATAACATTTTTCAGACTTCAGTCAGAGATCAGACTTTTTGAATCTGAGAGAAAGACATTATCAGTGTAGAAAGAAATACATCTTTTTCATCCAATTTTTTTTTTTTTTTTTTAAATTGATATTCTCATCCATGATAAGTAACAGAACAGTAGTCAATGTGAATCGACTGTTCATTCTTCATTTGCAGGGCTGTTTCTAGGCATCACTGCATAATGGGGCATGAACGCACTGCTGACCAACAAACAAACAGTGAAATCAAATTGTTAAAAAGATACAGGAAGATGTTCGCAAAAACTTTGATGGGGGCTGCCAATTTTTTTTAACAAACAAATTTAGGTTCTGCATGATATTTTAGGTTTGGTTGGGTCGGGTAAATGGAAACAAGTACTTTTTTTTACCTGGCCTTATGCTCCTCTGACTACGTCACTAATTTGTCATGCCAAATAATTCATGTGTGGGGAAAACATACCTGGTGAACTGCATATCCCATGTCTTTGTTGTCGGTTGTTGTTGAAACAGTTTTAGCTAGAGGATGCGCACGTTTGCTAAAAAGACAAATAAACAATTAATTGTAAAACTCATAATGTACATGTACGTCCATTGCTCTGCTAGGTGTATAAATAGCCTTTCATGAACAAATAGAGGTAGTGTTAAATGTACTTTATTTTTTCTAATCTGTGCTTTTGAATGAAGGAAATTACATTCTAAAGATTTTTATGTTTATCTTTCAGTGTTGTGATTTTAAAAAATGAATTTTATGTTGTCTTTTATGTTGTGTTTTGAAATAGTGTCTGTACTATACACAACAGATACACGTATGTGTAATTTTTGATGATCAATAAAAAAAAAGGGGTGGTAAATGGCAAAATGCAAGAAATGCCCAAGTTCCGTAAGCACATTAAAAATGATTTAAGGAAACATATTTGACAACAAAAAGGTGGCCAGTGAATATTTAAATAAATTCACAGGAGCTGTAAATTTAGCAAACTTGCGCTATCCCTCCTACTGTTTTTAATCAGTCACAGACAGTCTGAAATTCAATCCTTTCCCTTCCCATAAATTATACACAGGCTAGTCACCAACAGTCACATCAGATTTCATGTAGGCGCTGTGAATAGTCAAATTCCATCAACAGACAAAAACAGGTAACTGGTAGGTACAGCTGGCTATTATCAATCACCTACATGAGATCCAAGTTACATAAACAGTCACAGCCAGTCAATCCTGCTTAATGTAGACAAGGTCACTGCTTAAAAAAAGTCACTCGATTGATTTTGACTGCTGGGGTGGCTTGGTTGAATTTGCCAGCCAGAGAGGGAGGGCTACTCATATTTAACCTTATAATTTATACTTTTTTTTATTATCTCCAGCGGAATTAACTGAGGCCAAGAAAGTTGCCGAGAAACAGGACGACGTGCTCTTGCTGAAGGTAACCCGCAAAACGCCTGAATCGTCCACACCCGACCCCGCAGGAAAAAGTTGTTCCGGCACTCGTGCTGAGCCAGTCGAAACATCAGATCCAGAGATAAAGGTACAGGTGATTTTTCAAAATGGATTTTCCTTGGTGGTTGAGTGGTGTCTGCAGGGTATGATTTAAGACCAGGCAAGTTTGTGAACTTCTTCTCATAATGCTCTTTGTATACTCCGAGTAGATACATAGTCTGAACCAATAAGATTTTAGAACTGCTGTGGGCGTTGCATATCCTCATATGGACTAAGCCCACGAGCAAATAACGCTTTTTGACAACTTTTTAAAGCTCCAGTGTGAGGCACCCTCCATGTGCGGCACTGGCTTGCGTTTGTATGGCCTGTGGCACACATGACTAAGTTTATACTGAGTGTGCACAAACCATTTGCGTCTTCACCTGAGCGTCAGATGCCGACATAATTGCATTCAAACGTCTCTTCCAGTGGTGGTCTCCAACTCTCTCTTTGTAACGTTTGAGGAAGTACTTGTGCACTGAGTCCATACACATATGATGTGAGATCTGGTCTCCCATCATTGAGTATGCAATGCTTACAAACGTACATGTATATCAGTGAAGTGCACAAACCAAGAATTAAAGGGAATATACTACATTTGCAAACAAAACTATTAAATTGTTTTGAAATAATTTACTGGACTTTAAGTGAATTACTGTCTAAAGCATCGTGTAAAATCATGGCACCCAGTGTGCTGTCATTTTCAAGACAAGTCATATTTTTGTATCCATTTCAAACACTGGTTGGCCGACTGGCATTAGAAAAAAACTGGCTTTTTCAAATACTGCCCCCAATTTACGATATTGCAGTCAATTACACACCTATAAACGGGTACAGGCCAGCTAGACTGGTTCCCTGACCTTACAATTCCCTGACTTCTATAAATTAGTCCATTTCATTTAAAGTTAGGTCAGGGAACCAGACTACAAGAACATGATTGTTTCTATTGGTTTTACCAGCATCTACGAAAACATAACTTAAAACAGTCAGTGTAACAATACTTGCTATAAAATACTTGCCCCCAAATCCATCCGTTTCTGAAAATTACAGCAAAAGCAAATGTTGTCTATTCCCTATATAATTGTGTCCTTAGTTGCAGAGGACAAATCCTCAACTCCCGGTACAGTGCTCTTCGCAAGTTAGCAGCAGCAGCAGCAACAGTAAGAAGCCCGGTTCTCACTACGCAGACCTAATCACTACGGCAGGCCAGCTGCAAAGGGCCCTGAGGGCTAAGAAACTACAGCAAGCAGCCGGTGCCCCGCAGCCGCCGCCAGGGAAGGAAGCAACTCCGACACAGGACCCAGCAGCAGTAGCCATGACTGACGATTCACAACCACCAGCTGCAGAAACCGTTGCCTGCGAGACCAATGCAGGAGCAGCAGGCTCCGAGACTGCTGTCCCAGAGGAGGTGAGTTTATGGCTGAAACTCCCTTTATTTAATTTTTATGTTGTAGATTGCTTTAAGGTTATGCAGGGTGGTACAAATAAGGAAACGACATAACTCCCACTACCTTTGAGACTCAAACCACCTACACCAATGGATGGAGAATTGTTAAAGAAGAAAGTTGATACCCAAACAGTGCGTGAAATTAGACAAAAAAAGTGGTCAGACAAAATGTCCGAGCACAATCAAAAGTGTTCTGCCATTGTCAAGTTTTGATCTGCCATTTAGCGTTCCAAATTTGAAGGTCACATGAGCAAACAAATAGGTTATCAACAGTCGAGGACGAGTTAAAACATACTTACATAGTGCTCTCTTCATGATTGAAAACTTGAAATGCGTCCTTTTTCCCAAGTAAATTACTCTGTGAAACCTTGCGAGACGAACTTTCAAAAGGCCGCGTTTACTATACTTCAAACACGTGGACGGTACATACACGTGTGTACATGTACAGTATGTATGTTTACGTACGTACGTATCCATAATACACACTATGTAGTTGCAATGACAAGCGCCGGGCATTCACGCGCTCGTTTCTGTAGTAAGCCACGTTGTGAGAATTTAGTAACAATCACGCACTTAAAGCATACCGCGCAACACAACGTACTTTGATCTTGCTAAATTCTCATTACATGTATTGGGGTGTAAACGCGTTGCATCTATTGCGTGAATATAAGACAACACGTACATGTAGTTAGCAGCCGCTCAGCGTACGGTAAGTATTACCATGGAGGAAGGAATGGTATTACAGACCGGATCATCGGAAATAAAGTAAAACAACAAAATACTTTTGAGTGCAACCGTTTATTTCATACTTCTGAAAAAGACAACTCCACAAAGAATACATAAATCGCTCGGACATTTTGTCCGAGCACATCTGCATTTGGTCGGACAAACCATGAAAGTGGTCGGAAAATGTACGATGTCCGACTGTAATTTCACGCACTGCCCAAATCTGATTTTTGTCCAGTAGTTTTTGCTGCAGAGCCTATTTTGTGAAGTATACATCTTTCATGTGGGAATTGTTTTACATAACAATTAATCACTCTGTCCAATTAAGTGAAATTAAGTGAAATTTGAGGGTCGCGTGGGTAAGTATTTCATCCGGCCAAAACGACTCCTGTCTTTGTTGCACAAAATAGGCTCCGGAACAAAAACTACTGCAACGAATCAGGCGATCTTGATATCATTTTTCTCTTAACAACATGAACAAAATTCTCCATGCATTGGTTTAGGTTGCTTGAATCTCAGGGTAGCGGAAGTACGCTGTTCCGTTTTTTTCTTGGCCACCCTTCAAAATTAGTCAATGTTTAAATGGATCAGTCTATTGTACTCGTACTGATAACCAGTGTTACATTATTAGCTACGGGTCCGTTCAACTAAAAAGCCCATTTGTATGATTGCAGCTTGTAGAGCGAGTGGTGCGTGGCGTCCTGAATGGATTGGATAGAGCAGTAGTTGACGCTATGTGCATGAAAACACCTCCAAAAGTCCAAGATCAAAGTGATGGAAGCCCAGCTAAAAGTGAGTAGCCTGCCTTGTATCCCGAATTTAACAGCAGTGGCTAACTAACCAACAAATTTCAAAATTGTTTTCCAAACAATTATGGATATACTGTGTTAAACCTTTTTGTCACTATTGTTGATGTCCCCTATTATATAACAGACATACAGATCCTTGTCATTTGATTGATGGAACTCACATCACGTGGCATTTGTTATTACTGCCATTCACGCCGGGGCTCAAAAAGTACTTTCCGCCCATGGGGAATGGGAAATACTATTGAACAGTTGGGATCATGCTTATTCCATGACGCGGTATTTGTGTGCAAATGCATGCTGGTGTGCGCGTTCAGCATTGCGCGTAGCACGTATTGTTACAAAGAGCCAGTGCTACAGCGTTAGGTTCAAACATTTTCATGAAGGGGTGGTTTGGAAGAGAGAAATACATTTTCCTCCAGTTTTGATTGAAATAAAAGTTCAAATATATCAAATGACAAGGATCTATATGTCAGTTATATAAAACAAATATTGAGTGGCTTTTAATTGTGAAATTGGAGGAATATTATCGCTCGGTAAAATCTGGACTTTTCCAGTTCACTCGGCTTCGCCTTGTGAAATGGAAAAGTCCAGATTTTACCTTGCGATAATATTCCTCCCATTCCACGCTTAGCCACTGAATATTTATAACAACAATTTATCATTTTGACTTATTGTCACGATAAAAACAATTGTAGATTGCGGTGATGTGGGATATGCTTTCGCCTAGGGTGTTATGCGCCCCTCAGTGTTAAAAACAGCATATCCCACATCACAGCCGTCGACAATTGTTAAATGTACACCATACCAATGGTGTGATGAACGATTTTAGAGCGTATTTCATATTTTGCATTGCAGAAGTGTTTTGTCATCTGGGCATCATATGTGACAATTGCAACATGACTATCGTAGGTGTGCGTTACAAGTGCGGGTGAGTATTTCGCTGAGTGTGTTTTTGCTGGTCCCCGAGGGCCAGCCTGCAGTCCTCTTTGTACCTATCTCACTGACTGACTGTTCAAGTACATGTATGTGATGTAGCCACTACATGTAGACCACACATGGCATTTTGTCTGGTGCCACTGGTTTCACGTACTTTCATGAAACATGACTAGGCAATGAGTTAAGTGCTAACGGCAAAAATAGATTTTTCATTTCCCTCATGTTAGCACTAAAGCTTATTCTATGAACTTTTAAGCCATTTTGAATCAATTGAATAAGGGAATAAATATGTGCTTGGCCAGTAAATACGTTTAAAACTGGCTTTGGGGCCTGGTTGCCAATTATGTCCTTTGCCTTTGGCTCGGGCCGTTATCAGTGTCTGGGCCCTAAGCTGGTTTTAATGTACTTGTTTAAAACCGGCCAAGCGAATATTTATTCCCTTTATAATAGCCATGATCCCTATTTGCCAGGTTTGCAACACTGCTTATATTGCTGGCATTGTGGCTTGTAGGCATTTTGCCTGGCCACTACAATCGCATCATGAATAGAGATATTGAACAATTAGTAGACTGCTAATATACATGTAGGGCTCAGTCACCGATACAGCATTCCATGGCTTGCAGGTACGATTCCTGCTCCAGTCAATATGATATTCATGTTTAACTTTAGTGAAAAAGTCTTGAAAACCAATAAGAAATGAACTTCAAATCTTACAATCTTTCATCATTTATCATTAAGTAAATAGGAATTCCCTGATTCACTCAAAATTTGTATTAGGATTGTGATTATTTTGTTTTCTTTTTTTTGCGATCATTTTGGCACAGGCATTGCACTGACTACGATCTGTGTGAATCCTGCGAGGCTATTGAGGGCATGCACAACCCAAGCCACGTGTTCCTGAAGCTACGCCAGCCAGCCCACAAGGGCCTGGGTCTCAAGCCTGATGGTAGAATGGTTCCCTTGCTCAAGCGGCCTATCTACAGCGACGATAGCTCTGCTACTGTCAGCAATAGGTGGGTCTCAATCTCCAACAATTCCACATTTGGAACAAAACTGTATTTGGATTTTATTCCCCTTGTACAGCCGTTCCCTGAGAAAAGTGGATTAAACCATCATGGCGGTAGAGGTTGATATCAACAAGATGAATTAAAGCCTGTCTTGGGTCCGTTGGCAGTGCTACCCAGAAAATTCCGAGTATCCACACTGTATTCCAACTATTGCAGTTGTGTTAGATATGCTTGGTGTTTTCTGGGAAGCATTGCCAACTCGAGTTGCGACACGTAACACGTCGCAACTTGCAATGCGTCGTATGATCCATTTTACGAAACTTGCAATGCGTCGAATGAGTCATAAGTTCCTTGACACCGACACCCACGACGCATCGCACTTACGACGTGTTTTGTGAAATGAATTGCAGGATGCGTCGCAGACGCATTGCAGCGCTGCAAGGCATCGTAAGTTGTGACGAATTTCATGAAATAGGGTGCTTAACATTTCATCACTCATCAGATTGATTTATAGGCCTTCAATTTGATATGATTTTTCTTTATTAGTCTGAAACGCCTGGAAGAGAAGATGGCTCGCAAAGCAGCCAAAGCGGAGCTCAAGCGGAAGTTCAAAGAGGAGAAGCGCCGCTATCGCGGAGAGGTCCATCACATGATCTCCCCCAGCAAACGTGAGCGCCTGGAACGCATGGCCGAGAGGCAAGTGGAAGAGATCCTTCAAGCAGCCCACGTGGTAGGGACTCCAAGGGCAGGCCAGGTGGCAGTCAGCCAGGCAGATGGGGTGCCAGACGTGGTGGCAGTACCCCAGGGGGAGAATGCACCTAGCCCTGCCGGCATTGAGGATAAAGGAGAAAATAACTGGGTAGAAAAGACCAAGCTCTTCATGTAAGTTCATATTCCTCACAGAGCTAGTTCGGTTTTTTTTTGTTTTTTTAGTTTTTTTGATTTCATCTTACCATTATTTCCTAATTTGGGGCACTTTGATTTTTCCCATAAACCTTGCCGGAGTAATAGCTTAACCCAAGTTGTGAAGACATAGGTGAATTCTGGCAAGTTTAAAATATCTCAACTCAGTTCAAAGACATGTTACAAAACTATAAATGAATTGTTATTTTGACGTAATTTTCCTATTTGAAGTAAGTAACCTTTGAAAGTAACCAAAATGTGACCTGAAATGCTAAAAAAAAATGAATATGAAGTTTAATATGTTAATGATATGAATATGAGACAAAAATGCTTAATTGCAATTTTTCAAGTTCAACATTTTGTGTACAGTTTAACTCGTGGATTTGCAGATGAAACAAACAACTACACCAATGAATTTGATCACAAACTTAACAAATTTTAAAATAATTTTCAACAGTGATTTGTCTTTGGCTATTGAGTTTTATACGATTGTACTTTACACAGGCGTTTGAAGATGGACGCAGAGTTTGTGCGTGACGGCAACCTGCCTGACGATACCCACTTGCAGCCAGGCACCACGTTTGTCAAGAGCTGGGTGATGAGAAACACTGGGCCAGCTGCCTGGAACCAAGACACTAAGGTAATGAGAATTTAATAAGGTACACTATTCATATCTGTAGTGTATTTGGCAAAATTATCTGTATCTAATTGGGCAAAACAAATTTGTTGTGTTGCCCTCTCCTGACTGACACAAAATCTAGAAATCTCCGGTGATTTTTTTTGTTTTTTCCATTCACTTGAATTTATTGTAAATAAACTTTAAAAAACCTTGCCGTTACTGTTTCTTTGTAATGTGACAATTTTGCATTTTGTTACAAAACATACATACCTCAATGGTAGTATAATTGTACAAGATACAGTGCTTTGAAAATCACGATGATGATCTTGAGGATGGGGAAGAGCATAAGTGATACATTTCACTGGCAGTTGTTGGAAGGAAAAGACTATAATGCCGATTTTTCCCCTGTACCTTAGTGGAGTTTGTTGAATCATGGACATGATTGAATGGTATCATGAATGGTGCATTTGCCTTTTGGACTTTTTCCTCAATTTTCTCAAGTAAGAAGTCAACTTCTTTGTTGATGAGTCTGTTACACATATCGTAATTCAGGCCTTTTAATTTCGTGAAAACACTGAACATTTTTCTTCTTGTAAAAATTTGTTTGGATCTAAGAAGGAGGCAGTGTCTGGAAATTGGGCCTGAAGTGTATTGTACATAGGTCCATGTATGTACATGTACACGTGCATGTACATGTGTTACTGCAGCCCGGCCAGATTTCGGACACAGATATTTGAACGGGCTATTTTCAATTTTTTTTTACCCATAGGCCAGTTTCATCTCTGGCATTATACTCTGTACGAACATTTAAGGTGGTAAGCTGTTCTGCTCAAAAAATAGTTTCTGTGCATAGGAAATCCCAGTACTCGGGAGCTTCGTGAAATTGGTCCCAGTGTCTGAATTGGGATATGCATCACCTCAATTCAATCCTGTCCAAAGTTTGTCTTGAGAATGGACCTGTGGTGATCTACAATTGTCTATGCTTTCTTGCAGCTGAAGTTCCTGTGGGGTAACATGCCAGCTTCCACCCCTGATGCAGTGGATGTGCCCCCATCGCCCCTAACGAGGAGGGTGATATCTGTCTGGAGTTTGTGGCCCCATCCCTGCCAGGACGGTATCAGAGCCACTGGCGCTTGGCCCAAGATGGGGAACAGTTTGGCCATCGTGTCTGGTGCAGTATCACTGTTGATCAACCGTTCACCATGGATGAAAAGGTGCCGTAATTAAAGAGGTTTCATATAAAAATTGTTACATTTAGCGCATTGGTTATAAGCAAGAGTTTGAATGTTGAAGTACAAATCCATTGTTTGCTGCTTTATGTAAACTAGTGCAGTGCCCGTCTAAAATGTGCATGTTCAGGAAACGCAAATTGCTTTGCCGCTGGTATAGGTTGCATACTTGCAGAGTTTTTGAGAACTTCTCGGGAAAACAACGCACGAAATTCAATGGTGTTGTTTTCACAGGTTGAACGCACACTTACGTCAAAGTTTGTGCCAAGTTTGAAGTTCGACCACCTACAATGGTCGCTCAGTCGACTGCAAAAATAATGTGCCCGTGTACATACAAAAACATGGTATGCAGTGCTATTCACCCATACTGGACAATGTATCGCCCTACAATGCACGTGCGCGTGCCCGTCCTTTTTGCATTGTTTGCGTCATATTGAGCACGCGCGGTTTAGCTTAAACATCATGTAAACAATTGAAAAGAACGGCAGTGCTATTCACCCATACTGGACAATGGTATCGCCCTACAATGCACATGCGCGTGCCCGTCCTTTTTGCATTGTTGCGTCATATTGAGCATGCGCGCTCTTGCTCAAACATGACGTAAACAATTGAAAAGAACATCAGTGCGCGGGGTTCTAGGCTATATTCTGGCGCGCTAGGCCTCAGGAAATACTGCTTTTTTGCAGCTTTTTCGACAACCGCTCGTCCAAACCACTTCAAACTTGGCACTGCACATTCTGTTGTCCCGAGCAGTACACCCGCCGATTTTCAACTCCATACGGTGCCCGGTTCTGGAGATAATCGGCGGACAGACAGACAGACAGACAGACGGACAGACAGACAGACAGAGATTCCTTGAATTGTAGTATAGATGTAAAACAAGTATGGCAGAACTGTGCACAGTTCCAAAACTAATTTTCAAATGGATCTTCTCCCCACCTTCCAGAGAGTGGAAGATCCCACTCAGGAGGCCTCCTGCGATGCTGTGGCCCAGTTGCAGACTGACCAGCAGGACCCGTCCATTCCCATGCGGGTGTGTTCCTCAGCTGAGATGCTGACCGCCCAAGATGTGCTGTCCTTTGAGATGCTGAAGATCTCGGACGGCAACCAGGCCGACACTGAGACCGAGACAGAGGTGGCGGCTTTGATCCCTCAGACGACCCCGACACCACACAACACGCCGCTGGGTGAGTAAGATTTGGGAAATGCTTATCCCATATCACCAGAATCGTAGAGACTCTTTTGATATCTAGTATTGACCTTATGAGATTTCTGTTTTTATATCATTAACCCGAAGTCCAATTGGAGCCAAACTTGGGTCACAGATGTAGCATGGGAACCTTCGCATGATAATGATGTCAAAGGTCATGCACCAAGGTCAAAAGTCACTCTTAAAAGATAATCGCGAAAGCATGTAAATGACCCTTAATGTTCACATGAACCAGTGTTGGACACCCTTTGATGTGAAGTTGCCAAAATTTATTCAGTTACCAGGCTTGGCCTTTTCTGCTGGGTAAATGGCTATGTCGCCTGTCGCTGGCTTTGTGGGCGTTTTGTGGGCGAAACGCCCACATTTGCCTGTACGTGGGCAAACAACTTGTGAGCACCCAACCTTACAGATGGAGTGTATGTGGTTTATGCATGCATCCCACAAGGTAGCTCTCATAAAACACACTCGCACACATGCACCTCATGCACTTTATGGTATAGCACTGATTGAAAAAAAAAAAAAATGGCAAAATTATGAGACGTTTCATTCATACTTTCGATTTCTTCATTAAAGGTAGAGTATATCATTTATCATTTATTCATTCTTTTCGTTTGAAGCAACAAAATTGCTCAAAATCTAAACAAGGATGCTTAACTAACCTGACAAATTTTTAACTCAGTGAATACTATTCTGAGGAAACAATATTCTAGGATCTCGATTTCGATTCAAAAGTTACTGAGTCATGTTTTAAATTGGGCCTGAAATCAGCGTCCGGGTAACGTTTTCATTCAGCTGATTGCAGCTACGCGATGTCATGCACTGAACCGACGAATTATAGCAACTGCACGCGCGTGTGCATCATGTCAACGCTTGCACGCACCCATTCATGGCTTAGCAGATAAAAACGAACTACTAAAAGAAATTTCCAGAAATGCACCTTGGGACGCATCTTTTGAAATGACCTGCTGCTATTGTTTCTTCAAAATTACAGCATGCCAGGAAGAATGATTCACTGGGAGTTTAGTGCCATTGCTATCTTTAAACCAAGTATGCTTTTCAACAATAAATGTGTCAGCTAATTTTTAGATAGCTGCAAAATGATCTGCTCTACCTTTAAAAGCACAAGAAGGCATATCTACCATCAAGCATGTCAACCACATTACAAGTCACAAGTAACAAGTCAGGTCGCAAGTAGCGGAATGGGCAATGATAAAGAAATATTTTTGCCATAGTTCATTTGAGACTTGTCATGTGGCATGTAATTGACAAGATTACAACAGTCTTCGGATCTTTTCCTAAATTTTCTGAATTTCTATTCCAAAGACTAAACAGCTCTTGTCCATTCCCCCCCCCCTCCTCCCTTTAGGCGTGACACCCTGCATTTCGCCAGTCCGTGAGCTGGACGCTATTGCCCTTAGTCGCCACATGTCACAGCACAGCAACATGGAGATCAATGAAGCACCATCAGAGGAGACTGAGGCTCAGCCCAGGCTGGATCAGGGTTACGTGGAGATGGACTGCGCAGAGCAGGAACATGACGGTAATACTTCACTGCTGTTTGCCTTATGCATTGACGGTGCAGGGTATATTATATAGATATTGACTGCTTCAAGTGGTGTAGTAAAACTAGCTTCCCGATGTGCTGCATGGAAATTTTCGTTTTCCCGAGGCGTAGCTGAGACCAAAGGAACGCTCAGTGGATCAGCAAGGGAAGCTAGTTTTACTACACCAAGATATCAAGCAGTCAATATTTGTTTTACTTCCATTACTCAAATTTTTTTATCAGTAAACGTGTCACTTGAGCATTTTGTTTGTTTGCTGCCTTCTGTTATCCAGATGATGTAGCGACCCTGAGCTCCAGTGAGACCTCTGAGGATCTGCTAGATGACTTTGAGGTGGTGCCGCTACCCGACTGCTTTGATCCCAACAAACCTCTGGACACATCCGTGGTGGAAAGAAAGAGCTCTGTTACTGGAACTCAGGTTGGTGGCAGAACCGTTGACTTTGTCATCAGTGAATCAGCTTTGAAATGTATGAAATGGTCCGTCTTTTGGTTGATATTTCAACCATTTGATTTGGGAAAAGATGTCATTATTACAAGTGTGTAATAAAATATGAACTTACTTAATAAGGACATTGTAAATTCAAGAACTTTTTAGACATTTGTAATGCTAACTGAGGTTTATCTGTCATTTCAGACACACCTGACCCTACTGGAGCCCCTGCCATTTACCACCAAGCAAGATGCTTGCGTATCTACTGTCACATCCTGCAACACAGTTGCAACTGACGTGCCGATTCTCTCCTCGACTGCTCACAGCGGGTGCCAAACCGCTGCCAGTGTTCAGCGTGACGCGGCAAGCTCAGCAAGCCCGAGCTCCATCACGGTGGGAACCGATGTGGACGCACTGTGCCCAACCTTCCACTGCGAGGCCCAGACTGATTACCCTGCGGCCGGTGAGGAATCGTTTGTCCACGTGGTCAGCTCGGAGCTGCAGACCAGGAACCCCTTCACCCCATCCCATCAGGATGTGGCAGTAACCGCCGTTGCCAGCTCCAAATGCGTGGCAACCAGTGCCGGATCCTTCCTGAACATCGCCAGCTCTGTGACTCAAACAGAGTCCTGTACGTCCCAGGATGCCACTACCACTACTGCTATACCGGTATCCGTGGCAGTGGCTACCAGTGTAGACGCCCTCTTTAACATGGCGCACACCGAGGCGCAGACGGTACCATGCATCCAGCGTGATGCCATGATCCACGCCATCCCATCATCCACGGCAGTCGCGACAGACGTAGATGCCCTCCTCGCTACCGCTCACTCTGGCGCTCAGACAACCTGTAACAGCACAAAAGATGCAACCACAGTTACAGCAGCTCCATCCTCCATAACAGTGGCCACTGATGTTGATGCATTGTTCAACGCAAGCCATGCTCACTCTCAGACCACACCCAGTCCCATGCAGAATGCCGCAACCTCTCCCAACCCTTTCTGCACCTCAGTGGCTACAGACATTGATGCGCTCTTCAACACCCCCAGCGCAGAGGTCCACACCGAGCCTCTGATACCACACCAGGCGCACAGCCCTCTCCAGATACTCAAGATCGTCAGCCCAACAGTCACCGTTGACACCGCGACAGCATCTGCTTCTTACCAACCTAACGCTGGTATTGTCATCAGTCCATTTGACGAAGCTTTGGACCATCAGCCACCAAAGATCATTGATGTCACCGGTCAGCTTGGAACTAACGTCGATATTACCAATCCTGCAAACCAGGTTAGCTCCTTTATAAATATCACATGCCATTGTCCAGTTACGGTTGTGGAAATGACATTGTTCAGTTATGGTTGTGGAAATATTTTTATTTAAATCGGAAAGAGTAACACAAAGTTGATTTTTTCTTCCTCCGTAATTTTCCAGGTATTGATTAAATTTTGATACAATTGTTAAGAATTGAATAAGCCCTCTGCTACATATGCATGTGAACATGCTGATGTTCAACTCTCTTCAGTATCGTTTAAGAATATAAAACATATGAGGTTTTTTTATTTCCACATGCTTACTTCAGTCCAAAAAGATCAAACATCAATAATTTACTGTTTCTTTTATTATAATGACTGAAGTACAACCTGTTATTTTTAAAGGCGACTGGAGAGAGAGACCAGGAGGAGTTCCATGATGCGATGGAGCCCAGTGCAGCCCAAGAGCCCAGTGCAGAAGGGGCAGCTGCACCCAATGAACCCAGTCAAACTAGCACTGATGACCAGGATCCCATGGAAGCTCTTGGGTAAGTTTCTCTTTCTTCCGGTGAAGTACAGTCCATGATCTGGTGTATTATGTATGTATATTGCTTGGCCGGTATTAAACAAGTACATTTAAAACCGACGCAGGGCCTGGAAGAGGTTTATTGGTCCTCCCCTTGGGCTTGGGCCGCTATTCGTATCCAGGGCCCGAGCCGGTTCTAAAAGCACTTACCGGCTATTCTCTTAAATAAAAAATCTGCGCTTCTGTGTATTATGTAAATATATTGCTTGGCCGGTATTAAACAAGTACATTTAAAACCGATGCAGGGCCTGGAAGCGGTTTAATGGCCCTCCCCTTGGCTTGGGCCATTGTCCATGTCCAGGCCCTGAGCCGCTTTTAGATGCATTTACCGGCCAAGCACATTCCCTTATATAAAAAATCTCCGCTTCTGTTTGTTCGTTCAATTTGAATGGCGAGATGTGTTGTTCGTGCAGGCAGCATGACCTGTCATTCAGGACAGTGTGGTCACCTCGGTCATTCAAACATAGCACTTTGATTGCCAATAAGAGCAGAATAACACCAGAATCTCAAGCGGTACTCCCCATGTTGAAACTCTGTGTGTATACGGCCTAGATATAATCAGCCCTTGCACTTTCACTAGGAAGAAAAATAATCAAATTTCATTTGGTCTGACTTGATGTTGATGTTCCCTTTGTATCCCCAATCAAGGTACACTGCCCAGAAGGCCATGGAGTATGCAGGAGGATTTGTCAAACAGGCTTTTGGACAGGCTGCAATGTCCGTCAGTGCTCTGCTTAACCCACAGGTAACATGAGAAGTCTGTCAGACCAATGTTAGGGCTTTGAAATTAGAACTTTGCAGTAAGACTGCGATTGACATTTATTTTTAGTCAATAAACTAAGTGTTCAGAGGTACATATTCATCTGGATATCACCAAAATTTAACGCTTTTGTTCAAATTACAAGTGTTTGGGTCGCAAGAATCAACAACATTGTCATTGTCGAGAAAATGATGAAAAACTCTATCGGCAGCTATTTTTTTACCTTGTCTGTACACATTTCCAGAAGCCTTTTTAAGCTATCAAATTATTAGCCACAGCTGTCAATGTCAGACTAGTGCAGCATTACAGAGAGTGACAGTGTACTGTGAGAAATCTGGTCCCACAATAAGGAAAGCACTTCTTCATGAAGCGACATTTTCGTAAAGAAACATCCGCGACTTGAATCAAACACTGGGACTCTAATGGCTCAATTTTCAGGGAACAAAATTTTGGATCCTGAAATGTATTTGTTTGACAACTCAAAAACTGCACATTTTCTAGGTATAGTTGCCTGTATGTTTACATTCTACCTTTTAGTGATCTTTCCAACTTTCAAATTGTGGGGAAATAAGTTTTGAAGCCCGTTAGAGGGCATTCCTGTTGAAAGTGCTTCTTTAAGCCTAACGTCCTAGCAATTACTTTGGGATAAAGAACCGCGTACTACAGAATACTACACAAATTATGTATGCAGGCACCAAATACCAAAAAAATACTATGAGTGCTGTGCCCACTTATATGCTGAATTACTGCACACTACAGTTTACTACTACTAGTATTTTGTAGCTTTAGATGAGGTTAGGGTTAGTAAAATAAAGCCAACTTATACTAAGCATGAATATTAATGCTGATTCTCCAAGACGCATTCCAAGCTCAGAAAGGCATTTTGTGTTTTTGTCTTTTTTGTCCAGCCTCTGCCCAAGCCACAGGAATGGCCGGGTTCTCAGAACGAACCCACTGACCCAGTAGACAAACTGGTTGAGATGGGCTTCGGCAACCGCCAACTCAACAAGGAGCTCCTGAAGAAACACAACAATTCCATCTCCCTATGTGTGCAGGAACTACTACAGGAACAGGACGACTCCTGGCATGCCTCCAGGCACTAGAGCCCAATCAGAGTATCCAGTGCACATCACATGACAGGCACCCACCAATCAGGGGCTGCACTGCTTGTGTCACACGGTGTGCAACAGCCAATAAGGATCATTGTAAAATAGCATTTTCATTTCAGAGTTATATGTGAAATTAAACACAACCAATCACTGAACACATTGTATATCACATGATATCCTACCAACCAGTGATGATCCTTGTAAAATAATAGTCAATAAAATGTAAAGAATCTGAATTTTAAGTACACTTGTTACAGGATTACACGTTACAAGCAGTTTTAACCAATCAGAGTGCATGATGTTTAGGACAAAAAAAAATCTGCAAATTCAGAACTAACGTAATATAGTTCATCAAAGTAAGTTATCAAGAAGCAAGACAACTTAATGTCAAGAAGAGAAATTAAGAATTATACTACACAAGCTGTCCAGTGGTATGCGGACGTAGTTAATGTATGTTTGAATATTACAATTTTCAGTTTCATGTTCTTTGATGCATTGAAAGGGATAGTTTTCAAAAATATAACGTATTTTAAAGCAACCCTAGTTCTGATTTTTCATGTGCAGTAAAGATTATTATTGAAAGTGATAAAACGTATGACAGTACGGAGACAGACCACTTTTTGTCATTTGTAGAATATTTCTGTCATTGTCCGTAACGCTGTAAAATCTGAAGGATTATTTTGATCAGAACGACAACTGCAATAACACTCCCTTGAGCTGTATTTAAGGTGTAACAGAAACAAGATTTTAGCATTAAGGATTCTTGAACTGAGTTTCTTTGTCTTTACATAAGAAAATGTATACTAAAAACATGTTTAAAGATGTGTAACAATATATTTCAAGTAAATGACATTGTACAGAACACAAGAAGTTGTAGAAATAATGCACATTACATAATAGAATGGTGAAGTATTTTGGGGGCCTAGAACTTTGGTTTCTAAATTTAATTTCTGTAAGATATTTTGGGATTCTTGTGAAATAAAATGTAGGAGATACTCAAGTGGGTCTTGGTAAAGTGAGAATTGAGTAGGCAAGAGTTTATGGAACTTTGGGTGGGAGTGATTGTTCTGTAACAATTACGTTCAGACAAACTGTATGTGAAAAACTGTTTGGTACAGAGATGTAGCCCAGCAAAAAAATGAAGAAAAAAAACAACTGCACTTTGTAAAAGTATCCAGATGGCTTAAATTTGTCTTCGTTAAATTTGTCTTCATAGCCAAATAAAGGTTTTCAGTTTATTCTGGACATTATTGAAAGCAAAATTCATGTATAGTTTAAAGGATAAGCATATGAGACACAACATAGGAAAGTAAAATCAAACACAGAAACTAGTCTTTATTTAATCACTAAAAAGAAGTCAAAACTCTCAAACATGAGAATGAAAAATAAATGCACAATCTAGCCAGAATTTATTTGGATAATTACTAAAAGAATGTAGCGCGGCTGTGCATGTGATAATTTTTTCAAGGGTTTGCGATGCTAAAGATTGCTAATGTAGCCATTGTATAGATCCAGTTTTTGAATACAGAGTGAGCATGTTGAATGATTGGAAGTTACCCGAAGAACTTTTGGCAGAGATTTACAGTGCGAGTTTGTGAAAGCATATAACATTACTAACAACTGGCTTGGTTTATAAAAACAGCTTGTGTATAGCTGTCCACTTATAAAGTTTAACCAAAATAAAATAAAAGGTAACATTATATCAATTATTATGTATTCAATTGCCTCATTTTGCTTGTGATGTCTGTATTTCATTTTTTTCTGTTAAAGATGGCAGATGTAGTCTCACCAGAATTATTGTTCACAGTAGCTACTTTATAGACCTTCTGCGTAGCAGCCATCTTATAGGGCAATGCCTTTGTTTTGCTGGGACATGCATGAGTGAACCTTTTGTGCATTCAGTGTTACTGAATTAAAATAACAAAAGATGCCCCCTAACATGGCCGCTAGGCATAAGGGATATACACACCGTTGTATGTTAGGCGCACAAAGTTGAAGACGATATAGACTCCATGTTATTGCATTGTACTATCGATCAAACTTATTTCAGCTTTTATAAGAATGTGCTTTGGAAACACTGCGTTGGAACTTGGAGTTGACGAGAGCAGGGAAGCAAAAATCCGAGTTGGAAAAAAACCCTGACGAACACACCCAAGACATAATGACGTCATGCTTTGTCACACATGCTTTATCCCACATGTAAACAAACCATGAGGTCATTATGTCTTATCTCTATTGACTACCTATGATGTTAGGTCGACTAGGTTGTATTGTTCCTAGGGTATACATGTACATGAATAGCGATGCGTCCTCTCCCGTTTATAACCCTGAAGTTCAACTTCCACATTCTAAATTCGTGGCACAAAACCTCCACTTCAGTTCGTGTGTTTAGGGGCCCAAATGTCAAAATCCTCGCCCTTCATCGCAACCGGTGTCCCCTCTCTCACACAGTCCTCCACTTCCACAAGTCGGTAGTTTGAGTTTTTGACAAGATAGTCCATCAGGAACACTGCTATCGTATAGGTGTCCGGTATGTCCGAGTCCAGGCCGAGGATCCCTCCTTGCGTCTCCATCAGCCGGTTGTGGATCAGTCGCAGTGCCCGGGGTACACGCTCCACGTCACGGTAGTGGTAGTAATTCTCGCTTGTCAGCTTCGTACCTTTAAAAGACAGAATTTTTTTTACCTTTAGTTACCAGTTATCTCAGTAGATGAGTTACTTGCTCCATGATTTGGGTGTAAATGGCGCATATATAGGCTCATCGCTAGTGCTTGTATAAGCCAGGCCTTGCCAGTTCATTCTTTACATGCAAATTTTTGAGTGCAAAGGGAACTTAATAGTTTAAAACCCTAACTGCCCCTAAAGCTACAGAATACTACTGAGACGCAAACCTGTAGTATGCATTTCTTTCCATACAAGAGTGTGCACAACACATGTATTATTCTGAAATATTTGGCATTTTGTGGTATCCTTGACCCCCAAAGAGCCTTGAGGGTTTTTAATAAAGTCATAATAGGGAAATTTCACAAACTAAAGACACTTGAGTTGTTGATGTCATTAAATTCGGTTGGTTTTTCTCTTTCGCGTGAATTGTGAACAGTTACAAATTTTGATGTCGCAAAAATCTTGCTGTGAACCATGGCAGGTGCAGCTATAGCTAGGCCTATGTCAGATTGATTTGTATATACTCACATGACACGTAGGCCTAATTGAGTATTGGGGTTTAAAGCCCACAGCACGCGAGATCTACGTGCTGAGCAAAAACTCATTCAAGGCTGTTTGCTCAGCACGTAGCTCACAAAATATCAAGGTGTGCGGTGAATTTTTGCCGAGTTTTCTACCTCGCGAGGCCGTGAGGCAAATATCTTTCCTGTTTTGGGTTTTTTTTGCCTTGCAAGGCGAAAAAGTCATTGTGTGCAGGCAACCAAAGCCACGTACATGCTGAGCCAAATGAACTAACTAGCCAATGAAATCACGTACTCCGTACACATGATTTTATGATATTGTTGTGCAATTCTTCTAAAGCCTGCTGGCGTTTTTCCCCATTTTTGAAATCATGTGACCGACAAACAAGAATATTGTGCTTTCATTGGCTAGTTATTTTTTGTGTGAATCAGCTCAGGTCGACTGCACATGGTGAGATACATGCTGTGCAAACCACCTAGAATGAATTTTTGCTCAGCACGTAGCTCTCGTGTGTGGCGGGCTTAAGGGATGGTGGAACATACCTAGTTTGCCAGGAAATTCAACTGTAGGCTGGATAATCCTCAGTCCGCGTGTCTTGGCTAACAGTTTAAACTTCGACAAGCTGCTGCCGTTGATTGCCGGCCAGTAGAGGGCTGTCTTCAGGTCCAGCTCTTGCAGACGCATCAGGGAACTGACAAGACTACGGCGGATGAGATTCTTGGGCATCGTCTCTAGGTAGGCCTTCGGGTAGTCGCCATCCTCTCGGATCCCAAGCCTGTATCGCCGGGCCCAGGCCATCACAGTGTCCGGGAACTGCTCCACGAAGTCCCCATAAACGAAGAGGGTTAGAGGGAGCCGGGTGGGGTACGCCTGGAGGGTGGAGATGACCTTGTGGGCCCGCTTGTGGTTCATGCCGATGGCTACGGCTAAAGAGACTGAACCTGGCTGGCAGAGGGAGTAGATCTCACCAGCCGTGCCTGGCGTGTTGAGTGGGATCTGTGGTAGGCATACACAGAGAGAAATGCAATGATGTATGTCGTTCAAACGTCCTCACAAGTCACCACAAGCACATCACACGTTCTCTAATCTCAAGTCAAGTAACAAGCTATTCAAATGGATAACGTGGACAGAAGCAGTTTTTGTTTAGTAGTTTTGTGAAATGTTTTGTGATTTACATTTGACCGGATTTGTGGTGGACTTGACTACTTCACTAGAAATGCGTACTTTGTGTAAAAAAACCCAACATGTCCTACTTTTGATCCTGAATAACTTTGTTGTTTACAGATCATGTAAACAAGGCATGACAAATTTTATGGACTGAGTTTCATCAGCTTTGTGCAAGAGAGTCAGATTTTAACGCCATACAAAAATAATACCCACTTTCAGAATGTCGATACAGCACTGGAGACGGTGGCAGAAGGCGTGTGCTACAGCTGAAAGCTTCATGAAGGAACGCGTGATTTCCCCTGATGTCATTACACATCGCCTCGATCATGAGGATCGAGGAGGTATGCAATGACATCAGGGGTGATCCTGCATTCCTTCAGAAGCTTTTGGCAGCAGCATGCGCCTTCCGCCACCGTTTCCAGCACTGTATCAACATTGGACATTACAGACACACTCTCGGAAAAAATGGTCCGGATAACATTGTTAACTTATTTCTTATGATGGGACTGCGGTTTGGCCGAAGTCAATTGAGCGTGATCGGCTGACTGATAAGGTTTACGTACAAAACCCCGAGCCAACGAGGTTTTTGTATAGAAAGCTGCCGGACCACATTTTGCGAGAGTGTGTCCGTAATGAAGCCTGCCGGTAATGCTGAGCCTGCATACTGCCAAAGTTACCAGTGGCATCCCTACATTTTCTCCTGCAAATAGGACCCATTTTTGGACCCTAATTTTATCAAATCTGCTCTTAGATAATAGCCCAAAAGCTAGGGAGATGATCCTTGGCTATATTTGCACGATTCCACCGATTTTTAAACTAGACGGTCTCGTTTTTTACAAAAAATTGTGGGGGCACTTTTTATGCAAAATAACGACTCGGACGCGTAGAAATTTTTGAAACCCTAATCAAAATTATTGCGCCCGCTGTCGGTCTTATTGCGCCATTCTGATATATCTTCTGTCTGGCACCCCCCCCCCCCCCAGCCAGCCACTCCCCCCCCCCACCACCACACCAAAAAAATAATAGTAATTAAATACTGTTAAAAATGTGCTCGTTTATTCAGAAATTCATGAAGCATATTCAAACTGATTGGATTTTTCCAAAGTGTCTTTCCCACTTGCAAAAAGTTCTTTTTAAAAGCCCATCAACCGCGCCAAGGCAAAAGAGGCAGATTCTGAAAGTGAGTAATTTTTTTCATATGGCGTTTAAATCTCACCATCTTGCACAAAGCTAAGTCACTCTTTTTCACACTTCTGCCATGGGCATGCAGAGCCTCGATCTGGCAACTTTACACAATTAAGTTCAGTGATTCCCGTGTCCGGGTTCAGATCACTGAACCAGCTATTTATATTGTGCAAAGTTGCCAGATCGAGGCTCTGCATGCCTAATGGCGGAGTGTGAAAAGAGCAAATGAAACTCACTCCATAATATCTGTCATGCCTTGTTTACACGATCTGAAAATTTTGTTTAATTCCATTGGTAAACAAAAGAGTTATTTAGTATAAAAAGCAATGAGGGGCGTGGGATTTGCAGGGAAGATTGTGAGCGATAGATTTATATAGTTGCAAAAACATACTTCAGGCGGGTGGAGTTTCTCGAAGTCGCTGTACATGTGCCTGTCTGCCTCCCATTCCTTCAGTGTGAAACCTGCCTCTCCGATGTCCAGGACAAGCTGGTTCTTGCTCTTCTGTGACCAACCCGTGGGCTGACTGTTGTGATACTCGCCATACAACCTGCAAAGGTATCATAATGACAAATTATCACTGCTTATTTGCAGCTTCTTCCCTCATACTCTCCATCTGTTGAATTTCTTGTCAGAATCATCTATTTTATTCAGGTGGCTTTAGGTCTTGAGGTCGGTGAATTTAATAAAAAGCAGCGTTTAGTCGGACAAGTATAGTCTCATCTGAACACAGGCATCCGTCAATGGCAAAAGCATTGTGTCAGTTATGGTACAGAGCAGTGACCGCCCCATGATGGAGTTTAGTCTGGACTGTCATTGCCACAATGCTTTTTCCATTGAACTTGAGGAGATGTCGTGAGTGAAAAGGTGCTTGAAAAGACCTGGGAAAGAGTTCCATACCTGGACATCAAACCCTATTCTATGTGTTTTTTCATTAATGCGTCAATATTTTCCCTGCTAATTTTGACTTTTAAGGACATGTTGTTGCTTTCTGATGGCTGATAGGTCACTGCAGGGAATAGTGATGTCCATGTATGGAATTCTTTCCAAGACCTGAGATGTCATGCTTTGTTTATACATGTACGCTTTCCTATGAAAGCCAGGTAGGGACGAGAGTTGCGGCTCCCGTAAGAAAGCGCACATGTAAACAAAGCCCGATGTCATTATGTTTCAGGTCTATTGGTCTTTACTGAAATTATAGAGTATGAAACCTGATAAACTGCTAAGCGTGGTTTGAAATACTATAAGGTCTTGGTCTTGTAATAATGCACAGGAATTTAATAATGGGAAATTGATGCTGAAGACGTCCGGTATTTCGGACTCAGGCCCAACTCCTTTTGGCAAATGGTTATTTGTCGGGTGTATGACATGTCTGAACAGTCAACAATGCTCATCTTTATGTCAAAGTTATAACACCCATATCAACTGATATTAACAAATTTCCACATTTATTTCTCTACCACGAAAAAGTGGGGGGCATAATCGAATGCCCTGCCTCGGTCAAATGGTGGGGGATATATCCCCCAATTCCCCCCCCCCCATGAGATTTACACCCCTGCTTTTTAGGAATTGACAGCTATCGTGTCAAGGCCAGAACAAGCATTCTTTGCTCCCACTTAAAGGTACGTAGGACTATTCCCATTTCTAGCATTTTTCTCACTGAAAGCAGCAAAATTGTCTAAAACATTACCTAAGGTGTACAACTACAGAAAAAGTTATTGATGTTTAGCTCAGTGGCTAAAACAGGGGAAACGTATGGCCACTATTTTTGGCATATCTTGTAAAGGTTCCAACGTAAAAAAGTGTGACCGATGGCACACTTTCTTAAACCAGCTTCAAAGATATTGTTTTCGTTTAAATGGTACCATTTCATTCAAAAACAATTCGGGGGGTATTTGGTACCATTCCCATATCCACATTGAGCAAGGTTTTCTCATCAAGTTAAACAAAAACTTGTTGGAAGTGAAAGCCCGATACGTAAGAATTTAGGCTCATTCTATTCTTTGCATAATTATTAAAGACTTTTGTATTTATCTTTGTCTTATTATCCACTGATTACAATGTGATAACGGCCCATTCTCATCGCCGTGTATACTTACTTATCTATGTACTTAAAGGCACCAGTTTGTAGCATTCTCTGGAGTATGTTGAATTCGGCGCCCTCAACGTCAAGCTTTAGGATGACGTAATCCTCCACTGAGAAATTCTCCTTGATCCACTGCGCAAGGTCAATGGTTGGGATAACTCGCCGAGTTGACAGTTTTCTTTTACCGCCTAAATGTTTAAAAAATCAAATGGAGGTATAACAATTAGACAAAATTAATGTCAGTCTATTATTTCATAGGCATGTCTCTTGTTTTGACTGGCAGGAGCAATCGATCTTTTGACGCCCGGTCGCTCCTGTCGAACTGTTCATTTACTTCAGTTTGGCTCAACCCAACTCTGGAACGCCATATATGCAAATGCCGGACATTGCTGTTTTTGAAGCTCTGGCAGGAACTTCTTCATGTCACTTTGTGATCAGTTGGTCGGTCTGCCCCCAGAAAATTGACCAAAAAAACAGGCCCTCTAAGTTTTCCCTAAAATATAACTACTAATTGACCAAAAGTTGACCATATGCCGTCGTCAGTAAATGCACTCTTGACGACAGTTTTCGGAACATGCCCTTTGTCTCGATCGATGCATATGCGCGTCTATTTTGCATATAAAGTGAGACATTCCGGAACCAGGCCAGAGCTAAATGTGCACTCACGCTTGTTACAATAATGTGCAGAACACTCGATTTCATTTTCCAGGTCAAGCATCACTTAGTATTTAAATGCATATCTTTTTTACCCAAAATGCTGCACGCAGTTTTACTGCACATACCAGTTTCTTTATCCTGTATCTCCGCAGGGTCAGCGTAGAATGTCCCTCCTCCCCACTGCATGTCCCGCCCATTGTTGAGGCCCTTGTCTGGACCCCAGACAGACTCCAGATATGCAGTTACATTACCTGTGCAACATGAAACAAAAACATAAATTCTAATAATGGTGTCTTTGAAGTCATTTTCTGTTTTCAAAATAGCAATATTTCGGTAACTATATTTTAAGTCACTTAACTATTTTGTGTCACAACCTGATGAAATCCAAGGCGGTGATTTCTTAAACTGCATGCGGCTATTTAAAATCAATTCTTTTCAAGAGAACAGTTGGAAAAAAAATGAATGAAAGGAAAAGAAAACTGCAGCCTTGGATTTAATGACGTCATGAACTCATCAGCATTTAATGTTGATTTAAATATGGGCTATGATTTCTATTATATAACTTAAATACAGATCCTTGTTATTTGATTGGTGGAACTCACATCACGTGACATTCGTTATTACTCACATTTACGCCGGGGCTCAGAAAGTCCCATTCGTCCATAGGGAATGGGAAATACTATTCAACAGTTCGCATCATTCTTGTTCCATGATGTGGTATTTGTGTGCAAATGCATGCTGGTGTGCATGTTCAGCACTGCGCGTAGCATGTATTGACCTATTGCCATTTGCAAGTGAGCCACGCCCCTTAGACAACCCTATGGAATTTTTTTACACTAAGTTTTGTTTGTCTCAGATTTTGTGCATTTTGCATCCATTTGTATATCATGTAATTGGTCAATATTTCACGAGCTGTGTCGACGCTTTTCTCACGCGATTCTCACGCAATTGGTCAATGTTTCGAAGAGCCAGCGGTACAGAGTTGGGTTCAAACATTTTCGTGAAGGGGTGGTATTGAAAAGTGAAATACAATTTCCACCAATTTTGTTTTGAAATAAAAGTTCAAATATATCAGATGACAAGAATCTTTATGTCAGGTACATAAAACAAATATTGAGTGGCTTTAAATTGTGAAATGTGAGAAAATATGGACATTTCCAGTTCACTCAGCTTTACTTCGTGAAATGGAAAAGTCCAGATTTTACCTTGCGATAATATTCCTCACGTTTCACTCTGAGACACTCAATATTTTTATAATATGCAAGGGCACTGTTTGATTGATGTGGAGAGTTATCAAACGTTTCCCTTTGTGTTTCAACAAATATAAATCATTTGCTTTTGCTGCAAGTTACAAAAAAAAATTGATGGATTTGGTGGGTATTTTAAAACGTGTTTGAAGTTTTGTGTTCTTAGAATGCTGGATTACCCAAGAAAAACAATAATGTTCCTGTAGTCTGGTTAAGATGAAATAGCACAAGTTATAAACGTCAGGCCATAGTAAGGTCAGGGAACCAGTTAAGCTGGCTTGTACCAGTTTATAGGTGTATAATCAATTGCAAATAAAATTAGGACTGACTAAATATGGTAAATTTAGGGCAATATTTGGAAAAAGCAGTTTTTCCCCAAAGCTAGTTGGCCAAGCAGCGTGGGAAATTGATACAAAAATACCAGGTTTAATTTATTGAAAATGACAGGATTTTACAGGATGCTTTAGACTGTCATTCACAAACAGCCCAAGAAGGAATTTCATAATTATTTGGTAGTTTTGTGTTTTGATGTTTGCAAATGTTGTATATCCCCTTTAAACTATGAGAACAATAACCCTCATAGGATTAGTTCCATCTAGATATCAAGATCTCTCCCAAACCAGCACACAACCATACCGTATTCAGCGGCCACTCCCACTGGGCAGTGCAGGTGATGGTTACGGTAAGGGCTGAAGTACGGCCCAAGTCTCTCATCAATCTCAAACGAGTGGATGACGTAGTTCCTACCATCCGGGTAGGTATCGCGGAAGAGTTGCACGCTAGAGGCGGTGTTAGCTCCGCAGTCCAGCAACACCTTTGTGGTGCCATTAGCAACCAGGAACGCCGCCACGTCTGCCTCTTTGGACCTAAATGAAACACAAACAATTAAGCTTTAACTTCAGAAACCTTCAAGAAGTGTTAATGTTAGTGCTATGGAAGAAAACTATTTTTCTGAGAAAATTATTTACGCTACATATTCTGCACTTCATTTTGTCTTCCAGGATTCAAACAGAAGAAAGATCCTAATTAAAATTGGAAACTTATTCGACTATTATACAACTAGCAATTCAATATGAAAAGCACGATATAATTACAAAGGCTAGACTTTTTCACACGTAGTTTACAGAGAAAATTTTTCTTTCATATGTGTACTCGTACTCGTACTCGTAATCATATTCAGACTGGTACTCGTACTCATGAAAAATGTTCTCCGGCTGGAATTTTCATTTATTTTAAGGAACTTGCAGGAAAAGAACAAATTTTCTACTGTTTGGTAAGCTCTTAGGATGTCTGACAGCAAAAAGGCCTTTGAAACACATAGGCTGTACAGCTACCAATACCACAGTGTGCTCGCTTACACTCATCGAAAAATGCCTTGTAGGGCCTACTTCTACTTGTACTCTTAGCATGATGCCCGCGTACTTGTACTACACTCATGGTAAAGTATATACTCGTACTAATGAAAGTCTACTCGATTACAACATGAGTAAGTTTTTTACTGTACACTTCATCATTTTTCAATTTTGCAATGTTAGCATTTTCTCTATCGTTTTGCATGAGTTTGTGCCACGTACTGCGCATCCATGAGCACAGAAGTGATTCCGAGTCTGATGCAGAACCTGTAAGGCGGGAGAGGAGGGGGTTGAACTTGCCCCCTGACAGTATATGTGACCCAAAAGGCTTATAATTAACACAACTGGAATAATATCAGTATTATTTTTTGCTGGTTTCACCTGTGTCCCATTTCTATACGAGCCGGTTCCGTTGCTACATCCTTGTTGTACAGTCTGGCTAACTCATCCGCCGTCAGATGAATCTTGCTTGGACTGAGGTACGACTGGACCACGCTGTAGGACGGTATCAGGCCGAGACAGACAAAGATTGTCAGTGCGACTATCATCTTGTTGCTCCGGAAAGATCGCATGATTAGGCCTATCCCCGTGCTCATTTTGGAGACAATTTTTCACAGGGAATTTAGAAACTGCAGAAATTCGACATTACTTTCCGTCCATGTTTGTGTTATAGGCTGAATTCCCTGATAGGCAAAATCCTTGTACTCGTACTTGTCAAATGAGGTTTGCTTTTTAGGCCTATATGCCTATTCTTGTCTCATCATTCTCGTCTCACGACAAACGCTTTGGTCCTCCATTTTTTCACATGACAACTTGTTTTGCAGTATCATTTATGCCTATCCCGAGAACAAAACATTAATGTGTGCACGTTGTTGTGTATCCAGCCAGTTGCATTGTTGAAGTGAATTAACTAAAACTGAATGACCTGATTGTAGAACCTCAGAGGAACAACACGGTTGAAACAGGAACTCTGGCCATGCACTTGCAGGTTCAAAATAAGAATACAATTTCATTGTTTGTAGGCCTGTAGTCATATACTGCAATCCATAATGTAGAGCATGAGCAAGTCTACAGTGCACGATTATACATGTAGCCTACTCGTACTACCCTTGTACACAGTTGTGCAGACATGTTTGAACTTTGTACTGTTTGTCAATATTTGTGCAGCCAGTGCATCACACAGTTGTGGTACACATATTTGGGCCAACAATAATTACTATAATTAATTCATTATATTAAAGCAAGTGTTAAAAGGAGCAGATTTTTTTTATCTGGATAGGCCAGGGGACTTGCTTAACTGATTTGGCCAATAGGACTTGCAGTATCTTAGTTTATGATATATTAATCCCCTTCTGCACACAGCTGTGACAATTTTGTTTCCAAAAGTACTTTAAAAACAACCACACAGTACTTTTTGGTTAAGAAACTTCAGGAGTGCAGAATGACTGAAACACCACCACCACCAGACCTCCTATATGATGCTAAGTGCATCTCATCTCCACAACCCGAACCCATCAGATATGTAGATATGTGCTGATCTACGGAGTTAACAAACTTGGTTGCCATTATATAAGAAGATAATAAGGAGCCAGATGGGAATTTCCCCGTGTTTTCTCCCAAAAGGGTTTTCGCCCCTCCCGTAATCAGCGAATATAGTTACAGCAATATTTTGTTTTTCTTTTCTTGATGTTACAAGATAGATCCAAATTTTTCATGTTCACTGAATCAACTTTATAGTAAAGCATTCACACAGTACATGAAGTTATAATAGTTTTAAAATATATTGTATTTATAATATTTGCTTAACACCTATGTATTATTCTAATAATGATTTATCTTACTGTATTGAATTTTTTTATTTTTGTAATGTATTGTATAATTATACATGTTTGTAGTCATTATTTATTGTATGCAGGGCCCCAATGGAAACCAGTTTTAAACTGTTTGGGCATATCCTGGGTAAAGAAATGGAATAAATAAATAAGCCACCTCATGGATGATGACAAATCCCCACTACCCGATAACAACAGCCCAGCAAGATACCCTTCATCATCTGGCACACTTTGATCAGTCATCACGAACATCATCTCAGCTGATCAGTACCATGCACCTACACTGCCCACCACATAAAAGACATACAGACATTCAGCGGGTAAAGCTAAAAGAAGCATGGACTCAAGGTCAAGGACTTAGCACCAAAAAGGGAACCAAAGGGCCCAAAACACCAGGTCGTCTGACATATGAAGAATGAAGCTAAAGCGATGTACTGTTCAACCTTAAGAGCTGCGTTGAGTTGAAAGCAGATGAGGCCATGACGAAAGTGCTGGACAAATTTGGAGAGGGGCCCGGGGCAGAAAATTTTCTACAGCAACTGCGTCTTTCTTTGCCAGAAAACAGCAGCCCAATGAAATTGCAACAGAATTTATGTTATTGCTATCGAGACACGCTGAGACACTTCGAGGGCCTGCAGAGGGGAAGAGAATGCCCACATTCATAAGATAGGATAAAAATAAAACACAACGTCAAAAACAGTTGTCCTGCCCCCAGAACTGAAAACAGGACAGTGATCCAACTTTTCAGACCTGGGTTCAAGAGGGGGTAGAATCTACAAGTACTTAACTTTTAAATCGATGAAAGCTGCCCGGCGTCTTCTTCTGCACCAGAGACCCTCATCTTCTTCTTGACGGACCTGCACAGGACACACGGACAAGAAGACAAAAAAGATACTGCCAAAATGCAGCAAGAACCATGTTCATGCCAGTCACAAATGTACATCTTTCAAAATTCCACATGAATAACACATACACATACCAAGAAAGACTTCATTTCCAGCCAGACGCGATGCTATTTTGTTACTCTTTTCATGCTGCGCGCACTCAATTTCGACTTGTTGTCATACAATAAAGCTCCCAAAATATAAGAACTTTCAGTTGCATAATTTCAGACATTTGGCTCAAGTGTTCCAAGTGGCTAGATCGCGGGCTTCGGAAATGAATTCTCTGACTTCAACACAGAGACAAGGGCCCACATTACATCAAACAAAACAACATGATTGTCCTGCCCCCAGATCTGAAAAGAGGACAGTGATCCAACTTTTCAGACCTGAGTTCAAGAGGGGGTAAAATCTACAAGTACTTAACTTTTAAATCGACGAAAGCTGCCCGGCGTCTTCTTCTGCACCAGAGACCCTCATCTTCTTCTTCGTGGACCTGCACAGGACACACGGACAAAAAGACAAAAAAGATACTGCCAAAATGCAGCAAGAACCATGTTAATGCCAGTCACAAATCTACATCTTTCAAAATTCCACATGAATAACACATACACATACAAAGAAAGACTTCATTTCCAGCCAGACGCGATGCTATTTTGTTACTCTTTTCATGCTGCGCGCACTCAATTTCGACTTGTTGTCATACAATAGAGCTCCCAAAATATAAGAACTTTCAGTTGCATAATTTCAGACATTTGGCTCAAGTGTTCCAAGTGGCTAGATCGCGGGCTTCGGAAATGAATTCTCTGACTTCAACACAGAGACAAGGGCCCACATTACATCAAACAAAACAACACGATTGTCCTGCCCCCAGATCTGAAAAGAGGACAGTGATCCAACTTTTCAGACCTGAGTTCAAGAGAGGGTAAAATCTACAAGTACTTAACTTTTAAATCGACGAAAGCTGCCCGGCGTCTTTTTCTGCAAAAGAGACCCTCATATTCTTCTTCGTGGACCTGCACAGGACACACGGACAAAAAGACAAAAAAGATACTGCCAAAATGCAGCAAGAACCATGTTAATGCCAGTCACAATTGTACATCTTTCAAAATTCCACATGAATAACACATACACATACAAAGAAAGACTTCATTTCCAGCCAGACGCGATGCTATTTTGTTACTCTTTTCATGCTGCGCGCACTCAATTTCGACTTGTTGTCATACAATAAAGCTCCCAAAATATAAGAACTTTCAGTTGCATAATTTCAGACATTTGGCTCAAGTGTTCCAAGTGGCTAGATCGCGGGCTTCGGAAATGAATTCTCTGACTTCAACACAGAGACAAGGGCCCACATTACATCAAACAAAACAACACGATTGTCCTGCCACCAGATCTGAAAAGAGGACAGTGATCCAACTTTTCAGACCTGAGTTCAAGAGGGGGTAAAATCTACAAGTACTTAACTTTTAAATCGACGAAAGCTGCCCGGCGTCTTCTTCTGCACCAGAGACCCTCATCTTCTTCTTTGTGGACCTGCACAGGACACACGGACAAAAAGACAAAAAAGATACTGCCAAAATGCAGCAAGAACCATGTTAATGCCAGTCACAAATCTACATCTTTCAAAATTCCACATGAATAACACATACACATACAAAGAAAGACTTCATTTCCAGCCAGACGCGATGCTATTTTGTTACTCTTTTCATGCTGCGCGCACTCAATTCGACTTGTTGTCATACAATAAAGCTCCCAAAATATAAGAACTTTCAGTTGCATAATTTCAGACATTTGGCTCAAGTGTTCCAAGTGGCTAGATCGCAGGCTTCGGAAAAGAATTCTCTGACTTCAACACAGAGACAAGGGCCCACATTACATCAAACAAAACAACACGATTGTCCTGCCCCCAGATCTGAAAAGAGGACAGTGATCCAACTTTTCAGACCTGAGTTCAAGAGGGGGTAAAATCTACAAGTACTTAACTTTTAAATCGACGAAAGCTTCCCGGCGTCTTCTTCTGCACCAGAGACCCTCATCTTCTTCTTCGTGGACCTGCAAAGGACACACGGACAAAAAGACAAAAAAGATACTGCCAAAAAGCAGCAAGAACCATGTTAATGCCAGTCACAAATGTACATCTTTCAAAATTCCACATGAATAGCACATACACATACAAAGAAAGACTTCATTTCCAGCCAGACGCGATGCTATTTTGTTACTCTTTTCATGCTGCGCGCACTCAATTTCGACTTGTTGTCATACAATAAAGCTCCCAAAATATAAGAACTTTCAGTTGCATAATTTCAGACATTTGGCTCAAGTGTTCCAAGTTGCTAGATCGCGGGCTTCGGAAATGAATTCTCTGACTTCAACACAGAGACAAGGGCCCACATTACATCAAACAAAACAACACGATTGTCCTGCCCCCAGATCTGAAAAGAGGACAGTGATCCAACTTTTCAGACCTGAGTTCAAGAGGGGGTAAACTCTACAAGTACTTAACTTTTAAATCGACGAAAGCTGCCCGGCGTCTTCTTCTGCACCAGAGACCCTCATCTTCTTCTTCGTGGACCTGCACAGGACACACGGACAAAAAGACAAAAAAGATACTGCCAAAATGCAGCAAGAACCATGTTAATGCCAGTCACAAATGTACATCTTTCAAAATTCCACATGAATAACACATACACATACAAAGAAAGACTTCATTTCCAGCCAGACGCGATGCTATTTTGTTACTCTTTTCATGCTGCGCGCACTCAATTTCGACTTGTTGTCATACAATAAAGCTCCCAAAATATAAGAACTTTCAGTTGCATAATTTCAGACATTTGGCACAAGTGTTCCAAGTGGCTAGATCGCGGGCTTCGGAAATGAATTCTCTGACTTCAACACAGAGACAAGGGCCCACATTACATCAAACAAAACAACATGATTGTCCTGCCCCCAGATCTGAAAAGAGGACAGTGATCCAACTTTTCAGACCTGAGTTCAAGAGGGGGTAAACTCTACAAGTACTTAACTTTTAAATCGACGAAAGCTGCCCGGCGTCTTCTTCTGCACCAGAGACCCTCATCTTCTTCTTCGTGGACCTGCACAGGACACACAGACAAAAAGACAAAAAAGATACTGCCAAAATGCAGCAAGAACCATGTTAATGCCAGTCACAAATGTACATCTTTCAAAATTCCACATGAATAACACATACACATACAAAGAAAGACTTCATTTCCAGCCAGACGCGATGCTATTTTGTTACTCTTTTCATGCTGCGCGCACTCAATTTCGACTTGTTGTCATACAATAAAGCTCCCAAAATATAAGAACTTTCAGTTGCATAATTTCAGACATTTGGCTCAAGTGTTCCAAGTGGCTAGATCGCGGGCTTCGGAAATGAATTCTCTGACTTCAACACAGAGACAAGGGCCCACATTACATCAAACAAAACAACACGATTGTCCTGCCCCCAGATCTGAAAAGAGGACAGTGATCCAACTTTTCAGACCTGAGTTCAAGAGGGGGTAAAATCTACAAGTACTTAACTTTTAAATCGACGAAAGCTGCCCGGCGTCTTCTTCTGCACCAGAGACCTTCATCTTCTTCTTTGTGGACCTGCACAGGACACACGGACAAAAAGACAAAAAAGATACTGCCAAAATGCAGCAAGAACCATGTTAATGCCAGTCACAAATGTACATCTTTCAAAATTCCACATGAATAACAAACACATACACATACAAAGAAAGACTTCATTTCCAGCCAGACGCGATGCTATTTTGTTACTCTTTTCATGCTGCGCGCACTCAATTTCGACTTGTTGTCATACAATAAAGCTCCCAAAATATAAGAACTTTCAGTTGCATAATTTCAGACATTTGGCTCAAGTGTTCCAAGTGGCTAGATCGCGGGCATCGGAAAGTAATTCTCTGACTTCAACACAGAGACAAGGGCCCACATTACATCAAACAAAACAACACGATTGTCCTGCCCCCAGATCTGAAAAGAGGACAGTGATCCAACTTTTCAGACCTGAGTTCAAGAGGGGGTAAAATCTACAAGTACTTAACTTTTAAATCGACGAAAGCTGCCCGGCGTCTTCTTCTGCACCAGAGACCCTCATCTTCTTCTTTGTGGACCTGCACAGGACACACGGACAAAAAGACAAAAAAGATACTGCCAAAATGCAGCAA